ATGCCTTCCACAATCTTCCCACAACCTATCTTCCCTCTAGTACCTCCCAAGCCAAACTGCTTATTCCCATTTCTTGGTCTACTTTCTCCAGAATTCAACTGAACCTGTATCAGCATCTACAAAATATAACACACTATGGGAAGTAACCTTATCTCACACCTCCTTTATGACCCAACTCAAGTCCCATAACCCAGCATATGCCATACTCTTCCACTGGAGCCCAGAAACCTTTCCTTCCGACCACAATCAGAACACTTTTAGTTTTAAAGCCAGTTTCCAATCTAGGGATCTGGTTTTATTACTTAGTAGACAGCCCTTCGAGTCAGACTCAGAAACTACTTCACTCAGCACTACCCATTGAAACAGCCGGGTCAAAAATTTACCCTTAGAGCAGGAATGGCTGACGTGCGTGTACACACACACACACACACACACACAGCTAAAACCAATGACTGACCGTCACTTTTCCTTTTGTAGATGTACTGTTCCATTTGGAAGTCAAGGTTGGTGCCACCTAAGTGGGTTCCTGCTGCAAGGAATTTGAGGACATCCTCCTCCTTCATTTGCAGGACATCCAGGGCTCCGGACATTGTGAATGTTTCCCTTTAAGTTACGTGGGAACTGAAAAAACAATAGTTAACAATGTAGGTCCTTCCATTCCAATGGGGTAGGGGAACAGGTGCATTCTAATTACTCGAGTCAAGCAACTTCATATTTAAATGCAACCTAGCTCACCTTCTAGATTGAGCTTCCAGGCTAGGGGGATGAAACTGAACATACTGTGCTACACACATAACTGCACAAATCTTGCTGGAGAGAGTGATGTGGAGATGTGCAAACTAGGTAATTAAATGAAATGAAAATAGTGAATTGAGACTTAACACCTCTCAAGGTACCAAGGAGTTAAGTTCAAGTTATCCGTGAGCAGACAACCACCAGATGTGAGAGGAGCAGGCATGTTCGAGAGCAAGAGTTGAAATGCGCGCAGATTTACATTCAAATAGATTGTAGGTGGACACGTAGGAATTAACTTCTCCCTGATGCAATAACGATTTTCCCTCAAAATCCTGCCAAGTATCTTGACGCCAAAGAGGAAAACCCACGAGCCCCGGAAGTGGGTGTAAAATGACGCCTGGGCCTCTGGGATCACCACCGAGGTGTCGGGGACCAAAGCTATCGTGGCGCAGCGCAGCGTCCCCGCGTCCCCCAGCAGCTCGGACCGCAACCCAGCCCCATGCCTGGAATCGAGCGCGACCTCCGACCGCCCCGGGGGCATCACGGGAGCGCGCGGGCCCAGCCCGGCCACGTGCGTGGCGCGGGCGGATGCGGAGCGCCCGAACCCAGCCAGCCCGCTCTGCTTGTAGGGCCGCGTCCCCAGCCCTCGCACCCCTAGAGCGAGCAGGAAGGTAGTTCAGGTGGCCCCGGGGAACACGCAGGGGACCGCAAAAGGACCTCACCGAGAACAACGCCGTATGGGACCCTTTCTGGGTAGCGCGGAAAGGACAGGCAAGCGGAAGTGACGTGATTATATACCGCACCGCCAGCCAATGAAAACAAAAGCCGGGCGGAAGAAAGCGCGGAGCCCGAGGGACGCGGGGCGGGGCGGGCCTTCTTCTTCCGGGAGGCGGGCTCACGGCGCAGGCGCGGGCTCTCGAGGCGCGACAGGTAGGGGAGGCTTGGGCGGCGGGGCGGAGCGACTTTGGGGCTCCCCAGCGGGGCGGCGACGTCTGCGGCGCTGCAGCCGTAATCCCGGCCCAGGACGCGAGCCTGAAGGCCTCCAGGATTGGAGCTCTTCCCTGCTCTGTACTGATCGGTGAACTCGAGCTGCAGTTTCCGTGCGTGGGAAGGAGTGTGGAACCCACAAGTTTACGTGCTTGATGAGCATAAGTTGCAGAAATTATTTTCATTTTTTTGGAGGAAAATTTAGCAGTTCGTAGTTCAGATTCTAAAAGTTTATGTATGGGCCCTCTGACCGGCTTGGCTTAGCGGTTGGAGCGTCGGCCCGCTAACAGAAGGGTCGTGGGTTCGAGTCCCAATCAAGGGCACGTACCTGGGTTGCAGGTTTGATCCCTGGTCCTGGGGGAGGCAAGCAACCCATATGTCTATCTCATATGATGTTTCCCTCCCTCTCTCCCTCCCTCCCTCCCTCCCTCCCTTTCACTCTAAAAATCTATAGAAAAATATCCTTGGGTGAGGATTAACAATAAAAAATAAGTAAAATTTCACTTATGAGACATTTTCTTGAGGAAATTAATGAGGACAAGACTGCACAGATGTGTAAGAAATTCTTTGGTGTAAAAAATTGCAATATCCATTAATAGACAATAAAAAAGTATTCCATCAATACAATACTATACAACCATTAAAAATAACTAAAATTCTACAGTACAGAAGAGAATTAGAGGATGAGGGCAATGATTTTTAAAAATTAAAAGATGATTGTAAATAGCCAAATTATTAATAATTATACAGTAGGTTTCAACCCTGGCTGCACTTAGAATCACTTGCAGAGCATTTATTTTTTTATTTTATTTTATTTTTTTATCCTCACCCGAGGATATTTTTTCCATTTTTTGTACAGATAGAGTGGGAGGGAGAGAGAGGAAGGGAGAGAGAGAGAAACATCGACGTGAAGGGACACATCGAGTGGCTGCCACCCGCACGACCAACCAGGGCCGGGGACAAACTGAAACCGAAGTACAACCGAAGTACGTGTCCTTAGCGGGAACCGAACCCGGGTCTCTCCGGACCGCAGGCCGACGCTCTAACCAAACTGGCCAGGGCCACTTGCAGAGAGAGCATTTAAACATGCCCAACCCAAACCAAGAAAATCTAATTTTAGAAAATAGCTCCCAAGATCATTTTAATGTTCAGCCAGAGTGGGAACCACCAATGTACAAGTACAGAAACTGGGTGTGTTTTTCCCTCCTTAGTCAGTATTTTTTAAATTTTCTATGAGGAACACAGGTTCTTAAATCGAAACAAAAAATTCCACTGCTTTTTTTTTTTTAAATCCTCACCGGAGGACATTTTTGCATTTATCTTGAGATAGAGCTGGAGGGAGAGAAGTTGGAGGAGAGAGAGAGAGAAACATTGACGTGAGGCACATTGAGTTGCACCCACATGACCCCAACAGGGCCTGGGACAAACTGCAACCGAGTTGTGCCCTTAGCAGGAACCCAACCGCGGCTTGTCTGGTCCGCGGGCCAACACTCTAACTGCTGAGCCAACCTGGCCTGGGCAAAATCCCGCAGCTTTTAAACAAAGCTGACATAGAAGAAAAGGAGTAAACTTAGGGTCATGGCTTTCAGCATTCTTAGAAACTGCTGACAATATCTGGAGACATTTGAGGACAGTTTTCTGTCACTGCAGGACTGCTCTGGAGGGCCTTCTGGGACACTCCCAAACCACCTCAGCAGCTCCCTCCCCTATGCACCTTAGTCTGAAGAATACTTTCTATGTAACAATAAGGGTGCTGTACTGTAAGCGTATTTCTCCACAAAGTACTAAGATTTTTTCCCCCCACAAGATAACTTTGTCTTTGACAACTCATCTGCATGGTGAAAATTCTTGGTGAGGAAATGAGAAAAGTCCAAAGATGAAAAATGTACTATGTTGCCTTGGCTAGTTTGGCTCAGCTAGAGCATCAGCTCATGGACCATGGGTTCGATTCCTGGTCAAGGGCACGTTTGATCCCGCCCTGGTAGGGGTCCCACAGGAGGTAACCAATCAATGTGTCTCTGACAGTTAAGTCCCCACAAGGAGCCCTAACCTAAGAGGCACTTGTCAAAGAATGACTCTGGCTCCCAGCCCGTGTCCTACTCCCATCTCAAAACCCCCAGGTCCTCTGTATGTGTCTCCATTATTTTTTTATTGATCCCCACTTCTGATTAACAAAATCCCCAGAGCCTTCCTTTTGCAAACTTTGGTTTCCAGGGTTTGTATTTAAAAACTAAAATAAAAACTGGGCTTAAATTTTTTTTTCTCCAAATACAAAATTGTGCTAGAGACTAGTTTTTTGGACTACACTTTAGATGGCATTGGGTGGCTAAGAGAGACCAGTTCTGATTTGAAGCTGAGAGAATATGGGGCCCCTAACTGACCCCAGGCATCAAGTTCATCTTGGGCATCTTCCCACCTCCCTTTCTAACCAGACTTCCTTCTTGCTCCTGTTCACCAGTTTGCCTGATACCTAGTTGTCCTACTCAAACAATGTTCCAAGATCACTTTTCCCTCCTTTGTTCCAAAGCTCTCATTCCCCATTAAATCGTATCTTCATCCACCGAAAACATTCTATCTATAAAACTCTCGATCACTTCGCACTCTGTGTCTTGTATTGATGCTTTGGAATCCCAGCTGCACCACAAGCTCACTGTGACTGTGAGCAAGTCGCTTAACTCTCCCAGGAAGTAAGAGCTCTTGATAATGCAGCGCTGCCATCCCCCTGGAAGGTGCCGCTGTGCCTGGAAATCCTCTAAATGCAAGTGAATGGAAAGACACACCTGATGTTCTTATTTTATGAACCAAGGAGACATTTTAATGCTCTATACTAAAATCAGTTACATATCAAAACAAATGTTTAAAAATTATATCACAGTATATATACATAAGAAATCACATTAACTAAAAAGGGCACAATTATCCCTGAAACAGAGACAGGCCTGGAAATTCTGGGTTGCTTCAATCTTCACAGCATTCTCACCAAACACCTGTATCCCACACAGGCCCAACAGTCTATGCAACTGCAGTCTTGAACCTCTAGGTGCAGCAACAGTCTCCTATGCAGGACATTCATGATCAAGTTCTCTAAGAAGTCAAAGTCCACTTAGGTCCAGTGGGATGAGTTCTCAGAGTCAGCTGAGCCAAATCTTTTTTTAACCCTCACCCAAGGATATTTTTCTATTTATCATCAGATAGAGTAGGGGAGAAAGAGAGAGAAACATTGATGTGAGAGGGACACATCAACTGGGTGCCTCCCGCATGACCCAACCAAGGCCAGGATGAACTGCAAACCAGGTACGTGCCCTTGACTGGAATCAAACCAGTGACTCATTGGTCCATAGGCCGATGCTGAGCCAAACTGGCCAGGGCTGAGCCAAATCTTTTATGTGGATGGGGAAACCAAGGTCCAAAAACAGTCCATGTTACATAGAAAATTAGAGCCCTGGCCGGTTTGGCTCAGCAGTTGGAGCGTCGGCCTGTGGACCAGAGTGTCCTGGGTTCGGTTCCCCCTAGGGGCACATACCAAAAAAAGAAAAGAAAATTAGAACATAACAAATAAAACTCATGCTCAGTCCACAGCTTGTTACTCTAAAAACACTGGTCTACATTCAGGTTTCCTTAGAGTGGGTCGGGACCCCAGGTGTACCCTGAAGAATGCATGGTATAGAGGGAGCACACTGTCAGAACAAAGGGGCGTTTCAGGCAGAAAGGAGAGTGAACTAATATAAAATCTGAGTGTTCAGACAGCACTCATTAACCCACAAGCCCGGTTCTCTGAGGGGGATGGCAGAGGGAACCGCAGATCGTCTGCAATGGCCAAGACCCAGGACCAATAGGCAGTGCACAGGCAGTCGGGTAGGGCCTGACAGAGGAGGAGTTTGGGTATATTCTGCAGGCAGTGAGGAGTCAAGGGTTATTAACAATGGGGTGGGTTTAGGGGAGATTTAGGGGAAACAGGTTAACTTCCAACTCATTAAAGTGGCCATGGGTCATCCACATAGGTGGGGATGACTAGCACGTGGCTAGGTAGACAGAGGTAATGAGGCAAGCTTGGAGGAATGGATAAAATAACGGAAAGACAGGGATCGGTCATTTGCTAAACATGTATCCTTCCCTGTCTAAGACACAGCTGGAAGCTGGAATACAGTTACAAACACAACACGTGGCTTACAAGGGAATGGAGAGAGAGTAAAGGCCACTGCACATATGTACAGTAGTGCTTCATGCTACGTAAGAAAAGCCGAGGTCTCTGAGCACTGAAAGGGCTGGCCTAGCGTGAGGGGCTGCAGAAAGCTTTCCCGTGCGAGTGGTGCTGGAACCAAACTGAGGGACAGAAATGAGTTACCTCCCTGGGCGGCACTATTCCAGGCAAACACCAGCAGTTCAAAGGTACTGAGGCAGCAAGGAGGAAGCTAGAGACCAGGTGGGGTAAAAACACGAAGGCTCATGGGCACCAAGTACAAGCAAAGACACCCAGGTCAGACGAGGATGGCTAAGGAGCCCAAAGATCAGTTTGGCTGCAGACAGCACAATGGGGAAAGGGCGGAACCAGAGGAAGCCCACAGAAAGGCACTTCTTGAATACTAAGCCAAGAAGGTGAGGCTTGGCACCAGCTAGCACGAAATCAAGAGCGGAGAGGACGGGCCACGGTGACCACCATGAGAAGCACAGGATAACACAGTACACTCATCGGGCTGGACGTCCACGTTTTGATAACAGTGCAGGGAGGAAAAAGACAGTAAAAAAAAGTCAAAGTATTTACAAGTTCCAAACCGCAGTTAAATCTTAGAAAAACAACATATGTATACAAAAACAAATTGGAGAAATACAACTAGTGACAGAAAAAAATGCAAAATGATAACCATTTACAAAGCCTCGCATTTCTTTAGAGTCTATGACAAAGTCGTCCTTATTTTTAAATCTTCCTGGTGTCAAAAGTACACGGATCTAGTTAGAGTTGATTCCATTACAAGCGATACTTTTACTGGTTCCTCGCGTAGATAAAACTCCGTGTGCACCACTCTGTTATTCACCTGTAAGAGAGAAGCACAGCTGTCCACAGCCTGCAAAGCCCTGAGCAAAAAGCCTTTCAGGAAACCCCCAGGAGGTGGCGGAATTCTGAGCCCCCAGAAACTCTCAGCAAACATCACTGTAAGGACATGTCCCAACAAGTGCCTGGGATGCAGCACTGGGAGAGGGAGAGAGCTCTGGACTGCAGTCCACAGCCCGGCTTCCCTCTCAAGCTTGCCCCGGGTGCTGTCGGGCCAGGTGACCGTTCCCGAGCCTTGGCACTCACGGTAAAATGAAAGCGTGGGACTGCATTATGTCCGAATATCCAACAGTTGTACAATTGCAGAGACCACCTCGTGCTCATTTCTAGACTTTTTCTCACCAGTTGTACTCAGCTAGTGCTTTAAAAATGAGGAGTGTTCAATAACGACTGAATGCAAAACAGGTTTTCAGTTACCGTTAAACTAACATGGATTTCTACATACAGTTGGTTAAATCTGCATTATTACCTACTCCCGAGAAAGTATTTTCTTAAAGGCAGAAATTGGCCCTGGCCGGTTGGCTCAGCGGTTGGAGTGTCAGCCCACAGACCAATGAGTTGCAGGTTCAATTCTGTTCCAGGGCACGTACTTCAGTTGCAGTTCGTCCCCAACCCTGGTTGGGGTCGTGCAGGAAGCAGCCACTAGATGTGTCCCTTTCATGTCGATGCTTCTCTCCCTCTCCCTCCCTCCCACTCTATCTGAACAAAAAATGGAAAAATGTCCTCAGGTGAGTATGAAAAAAAAAGACAGAAATTGAACAATAGGAGATTATTGGAAATATGGATGGAATGACCGTCAAAACTGTCTGTAGTCCTTCCCTTTAACATTTTTCCCCCATTGAGGAAAAGAAAAGTTTGAAAGCTGTTAAGCATCATATGTAAAGTATTAACAACTGTCTTTCCCCCTGGCTGGTTTGCTCAGATACTTAGAGCATCATCCCAAACGCCTAGGTTGCAGGTTCGATCCCTAATAAATGCATAAGTAAGTGGAACAAATCAGTGTTTCTTTCTCTCCCCCTTCCTCTCTCTAAAATCAATAAATTAAAAAAGAAAATCAATAAATTAATCAATAAATCAATAAATTAAAAAAGAAAATTACTCTTCAAACCTGATGATGAACCATTATATTCAGGCCACTCTCCAAACTACGGTTCATGTGTAAATCTGCTACAATTCTTGGCCACTAGTGAGTGGTGACCATTCGGGGAGCACTAACCATGGGCTACACGTTCACCTGGGGGCACACAATGCTAGGCGGCGTTGGTCTTTAAAGAAGCCCCAGGTCCTCCCTCTCCTAGGGAAGCTGAGGCCGGCCAAAGCCCACTGCGATGGCAGGACTTCGGAGCTCACCAATGAACAGAAAGCGTCACTGTTTTCCTTGGCATCTGGCTCAGCCGAGTGTTTGAACAACACTGCCAGGGTTCCCTGCACTCCCAATCAGCCCACTGTTTTCAGGCACTTTCAGTATCGATCTTGTTCGCCTGGCTAAAGTCAGATCTTGTCATGCTAACCTCATTAAGTGCATTAGCTTTGGAGTGAATGAAGCGCACGGTCCCTTGGAATGTACTTACTTTGGTGAAAAAGTCAAAGAGGTGCCACTTGTTTCCATACTGTTGGAAGACCTCAGTCATGGCCTCGATCATCACAGAGCCAGTGCGGGGGTGCCGTAAAGCTACATGATCTGCAAATTAAAACAAAAACATTTCGTCCATTTTCCTCCTCCACTTGTGCTAACTGTTCTTGTGCCCAGTCAAAGCCTAGGCAATGGCTTTGAACTGCAAAGACAGGAACACTCTTGCATTAGCAAAAGTGCATCTGGGGCCATAACAGACATGGGCACCCACCTGAGCCTCCCGCGGCACTCCCGTGATGAATGGCACAAAACCTCTCAACAGGGCATTTTTTAAATAAAGGTTTTCAACTGTATGCAAAGGTAGAAAGCCAAGTTTAACAAACCCTATATCTTCTCTCATTTAATGGTTATCATTATTTTGCCATTTGCTTCATTTTATCCCTCTTCTATTTTTTTATTGCTGAATTTTGCTACAGCGTTTTAAGCTAAGTACCCCTAAATACAACCATATGGAATTTCTTTTGGGGTCCTCAAAAGTTTACTGAAATTGTTTTATTCTTAGATTAAAAACAAAGAAACAGGCCAGGCTGGTTTGGCTCAGCGGTTGGAGCGTCGGCCTGCGGTCCGGAGAGACCCGGGTTTGGTTCCCGCTAAGGGCACGTACCTGGGTTGCAGTTTGTCCCCGGCCCTGGTTGGGTTGTGCAGGTGGCAACCACTTGATGTGTCCCTTTCACGTCAATGTTTCTTTCTCCCTCCCTCCCACTCTATCTGAACAAAAAATGGAAAAATGTCCTCGGGTGAGGATTAAAACAAAACAAAACAAAAAACAAAGAAACATGTCTGTTCTATATGGAAATTCAATGGGAATATCAAAATTCCCCATCACAGTTAATCTGGTTTAGAAATGAGAAAACAGGGCATTTGCAACCTCAGGGTAGGCAAAGGTTTCTTAGAACACAAAAGCACAAACCATAAAATTAAAAACTTGGTAAATTGGACTTAATAAAAATATAAAGCTTTGATCTATGAACCACATTGGGAAAAGAAGATACAGTATATGAATGATCACTAGGCACGTAAACAGATAATTATCATTATTAGTTTTCCAGGAAATGCAAATTAAAACCACAAGGTGAGCCCTGACCAGTGTGCTCAGTGGTTAGAGCGTCGGCCCACGCACCAAAGGATTGTGGGTTCAATTCCCAGTTATGAGCACGTACCTAGGTTGCTGATTCGATCCCTGGCCCCAGTCACGGTGCATGCGGGAGGTAACCAATAGATGGGGCATGGGTCTCTCACATCAATGTTTCTCTTTATCTCTCTCTCTCCACCTCCCTCCTTACCTCCCTTCCACTCTCTAAAAATCAATGGAAAAAATATTCTGGGGTGAGAATTAACAAAAAAACAATTACAAAATAAAACAAAACAAAAAAATCTACAAGGTGATACTATTACACACCCATTAGATTGTCTAAAAAATTTTTTAAATTTTTTCCCCTTTATTAATTTGAGAGAGAGAGGAAGGGAGAGGGAGAGATAGAAACATCGATGAGAGAGAACATTGATTGGCTGCCTCCTGCATGCCCCCCACTGGGAAACGGGCCCATAACCTGGGCATGTGCCCTGATTGGGAATCGAACCAGCAACCTCTTGGTGCATGGGTCAACACTCAACCAGTGAGCCATACCGGCAGGGCGAAGAAACTCTTTGAGGTGATGGAGGTATATGCTTATCTCAATCATGATGATGGTATGAGTGTATACTTATATGTGTTCCAATTGTATACTTGAAATATGTACAACTTATACTTTAATTATACTTCTATAAAGTTCTAAAAGGATCCACAGAAGATACCTGTTTAGTGTGGGAACTACATGGAAATTTCAGTATTGCCCCTTTGAGTACATCTGCATTAGAAACACCACATCACAACCCATTTTGACAATCCCTCTCGTCCAGTGTTCTTCAAACAGCAGGTTGTGGCCCAATAATCAGTCAGGAAATCAACTTAGTAGATTGAAACTAATGTTTTTTAATAAAGAGATAGATTGGGATATAAGAGAAAATATTAAAGTGTCTCAAATGTAGTAAGGGCAAGTACTATTTATAAAACTAGTGTTTGTTACATACATATTTATATTTTTATATACATGTATGAAATAGATTATAATAAACTACGTATTTTCTCAATTGTAAGGTCTAAGATGTTTTTCACTTCAGCATGTCTAAAATCTAGATGTGCTGTACCATCTCTGCTGTATCACAGATTAATTGGTAGCTTCCTGTTGACACAAAATACTGGTGTGCCTTCCGATGGAGTCATTAAATTTGATGAGGCACACTAACTACTTTCTACTGTGGGTTACAGCAGAGAACATTAGAAAGCCTCTGACCTAATGCAGTCTGCAACCTCTCTGATGAATCATGCACCAAATATCTTATCAAATGAAAGATTATAAATTTCTCAGTGCTTTGACAATGACCAGTGAGAGTAAGTCCACAGTCATGGGTTCTTCCTATGGGTTCATATTTAGGATAGATTCTAAACCACAAAAACGAGTCTGATGAGTCTGTTCATCGCAGCTTCATTAGGAACAACCAAAAACTACAAGCAACTCAAATATTCAACGAGTGCTTGGATAAACGAACTTTAGAACTTTACGAACTAGAGAACTTTAGACACTGGCTAAAAGCTAGTAAGTTTCCACAGATTTACCAAACAAAGTCAAATAAAAGATCACTAGGACTGGAATTCCCCATCCTTGCACTGTAAAGTAGTTTAGATAACTCTGGCCATGAACATGAACAATCTCTTACAAGACTGACTACAACAGTAAATAAACAGATGAAAGCATGTTGCTGCTTCTGCACACAGCTGACATGGTTCTGTCACAAACCAGGAGTGACAAGCTCTAGGACCTGCAGGGGTCAGGTAGCTGATATAAATGTCTATGGCGAGCTAGATGACAGAAATCTGAATTCTTATGTGAAATCTCCTGCTTTTTAAAAGCAGATAACTCAATTTTTAAAGGTTTTTTTTTAATCCTCACCCGAGGACATTTTTCCATTTTTTGTTCAGGTAGAGTGGGAGGGAGAGAGAGGAAGAGAGAGCGAGAAACATCGATGTGAAAGGAACACATTGAGTGGCTGCCACCCGCACGACTGACCAGAGCCGGGGACAAACTGCAACCGAGGTACGCGCCCTTAGCGGGAACCGAACCCGGGTCTCTCAGGACTGCAGGCCGGCGCTCTAACCTCTGAGCCAAACCGGCCGGGGCTAAAATGTTTTAAATTTACTTTTTGAATAGCTAATACATTCAAATTACTAAAGGAATCTAGGGATGTCTCCCTCCCTCCTTGTCTCATGCCCAAGAAAACCAATGGTATCAGTTTCTTCTGCATCCTTCCAGATCTGTGTATGAAGAAGCTTATACATGCCTGAGTGTGTAACCACCCTCTCCTCTGACCCCAGCAGCAAATATACACTGTTCTATGAGCTGATTGTTTCCCCTCTAATTCACCTTGGAGGTCGCTCATCAACACATAAAAACCTTCTTCCCCTAGCTACACGGTATTCTCCTCTATGATTTACTATAATTTATTTAATTAGTTCCCCTATGGATAGACATTTAGGTTGTTCCTTAGGAATATAGTAGAAGCAGTACTTAGAAGGGAATTATACCTTTTAAAATGCTTTTTTTTAAAGTATAAAATTATGAGTCAAGTACCTAACTAATATAGTTTGGTAAAATAAACCTCCAAAAAATGGAGAAAAATTAAAATATGAACCAAAATTAATGAAATAAAAAATAAACGTAATACTAGAGAGGATTAACAACAACAAAAAAACAAAACGAAAAATGGGTTAATTAAATAAAGAAATCACTGGAAAAACTAATAAAGAATAAAAGAAGAAAGCCACAAAGAGGGGAACTTAACTATAGATAAAGATTTCACATGATTAAAGATAAAATTAACGCCCTGGCCAGTTTGGCTTGGTTTAGCTCAGCGGTTGGAGCGGCCCACGTACCAAAGAGTCCGTGGTTCAATTCCGGTCAAGGGCACGTGCCTTGGCTGCAGTTCGTCCCCAGGGCCCTGGTCGGGGTCGTGCAGAGGTAGCCAGTCGATGTGTCTCTCTCACATCAATGTTTCTCTCTCCCTCCCTCCCTCCTACTCTGTCTGAAGATAAATGGAAAAACATCCTGGGGTGAGGATACAAAAAAAAAGGATAAAATTAACTGCATGCCAAGAAATTTGAAAATGCATTATTTTTTCTCCATTGAGAAGCCAGTTTTCGCACTATTTACCGAATGGTCCATTCTTTCGCCATTGATTAGTGATGGCTTCTTTGTCATAATATCTAGTTTCCCTATATATTTGCTTCTACCTCTAGGTTCTTTATTCCGCCGCAGACGTCTTTCTCTATACAAAGGCTGATCCACAGAGTTTTTGTTATGCCTTTATAATACTAAGTATTCCTATTTTAAAGATGAATTATCTCAACTATCTGTGTAACTCACTCTCTCCTGTCCCTTAAGTCTCTACAATATGAACAACCGCTCAGGGGGGACATCTCTATACATCTCTTTTTTAAAAAGGCAGTCTCTGCTCCTACCCTAACCCTCAGTACTCCCTGTCACCGTTCCTGCATTATTTTTCTCCTTTGCTCTTACCCTCACCTAACATATTTTATTTTATTTTTGGTAAACTTTTCACTGAAGGGTAACCATCATATGGAAACGTGCACAAAGCATAAGAGTACATAACAGCTCAGTAAGTTTTCATGAAATGAACCATCCATTAGAGAGAACGTGGATTGGCTGCCTCCTGCACGCCCCCTACTGGGGAACCACCCAGGCATGCGCCCTGACCGGCACTCAAACCGCTGTCCTCTTGGTGCGTGGGTCAGTGCTCAACCACTGAGCCACACCAGCCGGGCCCTTAATCCTTTTTGAAGAAAGTCAAGATATAAACAGCTAAATAAATGTCCTTGACCATTTACTTCTATCTTCTCTATTATCCTGTCAAGTCCACCCCTTCAGCACATAAGATTCTTTAGGACTTTAACTTATTAGTAAAAGTATTCGTAATAATAATGATAATGTTATTAGCATAATATATTAGTAATAACAGAAGCTAATTTTTTGGTATTTATTATGCCAATTGTTATGATAAGCACACCTGCATTACATAATTTAATTTACATAAGCTCCTAATGATACAAGTAAATTTTATCATTCTCATTTTACATGAAGAAACTGACACATCTAAAGGCTGAAAAATACTGAAGGACTCAAAGAAAGCAAATGGCAGAGCTAGTTTTTGGGCCAACATCATTTTCACATGGGAGCCAATGACCTTATTTACTTTGTGGTACTTTGCTCAGAGGTCGATGTCTTCCTGGAAGGAATGAACAGTGAGATGCCAGCCTGCCATTTCTGAGAGTAGGAACCATTTCTGAAGGGAGATGGGGGAGTTGACGTGTATCTCGTGATCACATGCCTTCGCTGTCTCACCTGCCTGGGTAGGATAGATGATGAAATAGTCACTGAACGTGGGCAGCCTCTTCGTCTCCAACACGTTATCTGAGTCCATGGGTTCATCATCTGTTTCCACACCACTATCTCTTCTCTCTATTTTTTGAGGAAAAAGAGACAAACCACAATAATACATCACTGATACCAGCAACCCTTAATAAAAGTTATCTCCAGCTCATATCTCCACAAGAGAGAGAAATATCCACAATAAGCTAAGACAGATGTTAGTCCCACAAGCCACCTAGAATCACCGGGATGGTGGGACGCCCCTTGGAAACTGCACACCCCTCTCTCGGAACTTGAGGTGCCCAGACCTCCCTCATGAAGTCAGTGACTTGGACTGTTCCTCAGCCCAGGCGAGGTTTCCGTCCATCTCCTCTTCCAGCTCAAAGTCCCGAGTATACTACACGACTGAAGTTACATCAGCGGGTCCTCTACTTAAAATATGTTACTTAAACATATATACTTGTGCCCTGGCCGGTTTGGCTCAGTGGTTAGAGCATCGGCCTGCGGTCTGGAGAGACCCGGGTTCGGTTCCCGCTAAAAGCACGTGCCTCGGTTGCAGTTTGTCCCCGGCCCTGGTTGGGGTTGTGTGGGTGGCAGCCACTCGATGTCTCTCTCTCATGTCGATGTTTCTCTCTCTCTCCCTCCCTCCCTCTCTATCTGAACAAAATATCAAAAAATGTCCTCGGGTGAGGATTAAAACACAAAACAAAAATAAACATATATACTTGTAAACTTACTTATTCTTCTTTTCTGTATCAAAGTATGAGAATTCCCTAGAAACATGACGATTACAAAGAAGTCTCCACTTACCTCCCCTGCAGGCCTGGATTATAAAGACCTTTGGTTTCCCGTGGAGCGCCGGACAATTTTTATTATTAAACATTTCAAAAATGTCTTCCAGGCTGACTCTGTCATCATCTTTTATTTTAATACAGCCTTTTTCTCCATGAGACATAAGAGTGACAAGGCAACAGCTAATTTCATCTTTAATTTCATTCAATCCATCACGAAAGGATGCTAGTTTTTCAAGTAACTCCTGTAAAACAAGATAACATATTGAAAAGGATGGAAAGTGGGGAAAAAATCAGAAATGCTAGAGGTGGCCCCTTTGCTCTGAGGTGACCCAGAGAGATGATCAATATGAAGATACCTACGTCTCTAACAGCCAGTACGAGGGAGCTATTTCTTTCTGGGCTTGTCACTCCCTTTGGGTTGCTCTCAGAACTCATTTGATTTCTTCTTGTGCTACTGGTTCTTGTTTGACAAAATTAGGGCATTTCTAATTGTCTACCACAAAACAGAATTATAGCTTCCCAAAGGGTTAATGTTTTTAATTCTTATTAATTTACTTTTATATATAAAAATTATTTTATAAAATTAATACTCTCGCTCAGCCAGTGTGGCTCAGTGGATTGAGCGTCGTGTCCCATGGACTGAAAGGTCTGGGTTCGATTCCTGGTCAGGGCACATTCCTGGGTTTCAGGCTTGATTCCCAGTGGGGGGTGTGCAGGAGGCAGTAGACTGATGTTTCTCTCTCACATCGATGGTTCTATCTCTCTTTCCCCTCCTCTCTCTCTAAAAAATCAATGAAAATTTATTTTAAAAAAATTAATGCTCTCAATAAGGTAGAAATGAAAGGGAATAGAAGAGTCCAGCCAATAATATACACCTGCCAGAGTCTATCAGCAGATGTCACCAAAATCCATCCCACAGGTGGCTGCCATCACTACTCCCATACATGTTGTAATAAAGATCCTACCCATCTCAATGCAGTAAAGTAAAAATTAAATTAAGTTTAAATATTGGAAACAAAGAGCCAAAACGCATTATATACAGATAATATGACTATCTGGAAATATAAAATAAATCAACTAAAATACTATTAGAAGAGAGATCATCAAGTTGACTGGATGAATACAGGGATCTACATTTCCCTAATTATCCAGCAATAATCATTTAAGCCACATAATGGAAAAAGGTATCCCATCTGTGGTCACAAGAAAACTAAAATACCTAGAGAAAAAACCTAGTAAGGAATACACATTATCTAAATGAAGAAAAGCATTAAAAAGAACCTTTGGTGCCCTGGCCGGTTTGGCTCAGCAGTTAGAGTGTCGGCCTGCGGTCCAGAGAGACCCAGGTTTGGTTCCTGCTAAGGGCACGTACCTCGGTTGCAGTTTGTCCCTGGCCCTGGTTGGGTTGTGTGGTGGCAGCCACTCGATGTGTCCCTTTCACATCGGTGTTTCTCTCTCTCTCTCTCTCCCTCCCTTTCTCCCACTCTATTTGAACAAAAAATGGAAAAATGTCCTTGGGTGAGGATAAAAAAAAAAAAAAAGAAAAAATACCTTTGGTGCCCTGGCCAGTTTGGTTCAGCAGTTAGAGCGAAGGCCTGTGGACCGAAGGGTCTTAGGTTCTATTCCCGGTCAAGGGCACATGCCTGGACTGCAGATCCTATCCCAGGCCCCAGTCCACAGGCAGGAGGCAATCAGCTGATGTCTCTCTCACATTGTTTCTCTCTCTCTCTTCCTCCTCCCCTCCTCCCTTCTGCTCCCTCTAAAAAAAAAAAAAAAAAAAAAAAAAATCAATGGAAAAAATATCCCCAGTTGAGGATTAACAACAAAATTTAAAAACAAAACAAAACACCACCATCTTTGGTGAAAGGGCAACATAAACAAACCATGACACTGTGATGCTTCTGGCTGAGATGACTCAACACTATTCATTTGCTAATTCACTACAAATTAATCTTCAATGTCATGTCAATCAAAATCCCAAAGGATTTCTGTAGAACTTAACCAGATTCTCAAGGCCAGAGAGAACAGATTGTTTAAGAATACCAAGAACATTCAGAAGAAAATAAAAAGAGTGGGGGATAGGTCCTATAAGACCTCAAAATGTACTGTAAAATCATGGTGAAGAGCCCCGTCAGTGTGGCTCAGTTGACTGTCATCCCAAGCATGGAAAGGTTCCCGGTTCCTGGTTGGGGCACATGCCTAGGTTTCGGGCTCAAGCCTCTGGGGAGGGGCCATGCAGGAGGCAGCCATGTATTTTTTTTAAAAATCATGGTGGAGCCAGGCCGGTGTGGCTCAGTGGTTGAGTACTGACCTATGCACCAAGGGCTCACCAGTTCAATTCCCGGTCAGGGCACATGCCCGGGTTTGTGGGCTCCATCACCAGTGGGAAGTGTGCAGAAGGCAGCCAACTGATGTTGATGTTTCTCTCTGATCAATGTTTCTATCTCCCTCCCCTTCTCACTTCCTCTCTCACTAAAATCAATAAAAACATACTTTAAAAAAATCATGGTGAAAAAAAGCCACATACTGACATAACTATAAATAAATATATAAATGGAATATTTTAGAATCCAGAAATCAGTTTAAGTACTAGTTCATGGACTTTCAAATATATGGGGGAAGGATGTATCATTCAATAAATATTCAGATGACTGACTATCCATTTGGAAATCAAATTAGATCTCCTACACTACATTGTTACAAAAATAAAATTACACAGAGAAGGTAAACCTTAAACTATTTTTAAAAAGTCACAGAAAAATAATGCAAAGTTTTTTAAATTGGGAAGGCATAGGGTTTAAGCAAGAAACAAAGACCAAGAGCAGACAAACGGAAACACTAATTTACTCACAAAAATGAAAACACTTTCGTATGACTTAAGACAACGAAAAGTCAAAAGGCAAGTAACAAGTCAGGAGAAAAATATCTGCACTGTCTTTTGTAAATGAATAATGTTCAGGAAAATAACTAGAGAATAAGAATAAGAAAAAGAAAATCCAGTAAAGGTCAAAGAAGACAAACATAATTTACAGGAGGAATGCCCTGGCCGGTTTGGCTCAGTGGTTAGAGTGTCGGCCTGCGGACCAGAGAAGTCCCAGGTTCGGTTCCTGCTAAGGGCATGTACCTCAGTTGCAGTTTGTCCTTGGCCCAAGTTGGGGTCGTGTGGGTGGCAACCACTCGATGTGTCTCTCTCACATTTATGTTTCTCTTTCTCTCTACCCTCCTCTCTCCCTCCCGCTCTATAAAAAGAAAAAAAAAAAAAATTAGAGGAGGAAGAAAATGGCCAAAAGATGTTCAACCAAACTAATGACCTAGAAAATGAAACTTAAAACAGTGAACTATTGCCCGGCCAGTGTGGCTCAGTGGTTGAGCATAGACCCATGCACCAAGGGGTCGCCGGTTCGATTCCTGGTCAGGGCACATGTGCTTCTTGTGGGCCCGATCCCCAGTGGGGGGCGTGCAGAGGTGGCCGAACGATGTTCCCTCTCATTGATGTTTCTCTCTTTTTCCTTTCCTCTCTCTAAAGAAAAGATATTTTTAAATATGTTTTAAAAAAATTAAAAACAGTGAACTACTTTTGTCAGTAAGATTATGAAATATTAGAAGATTAGCAATATCTGCTCTGAATGGAAGGGTCTTGATTAAAAATCATGTAATATGGAAAACAGGCCTTGGGAAAAACGACGGAGTGTTTTTTTAGCGTTGAAATAATAATAAAATCGAAATCGACTGAGCACTTAACTATAAGCCAGCTATTAATCTGAGAGTTTTTGCACATAGAAGCCCATTTCATATTCATAACCGCCCTACAAGATACTTTACTGTAACCAGCCCCATTGCAGAGAGAAGATATCAGGATATACAGGTCACTGCTCAGCAGGGCCTGGTTCTTGCTAGGCGCTAAAACTCAATTTTTTTCTAAAAAAAACAAAACAAAGGAAGGAAGGTTATTCAATCCAAGCCACAATTTTTCAGTTTTGATTTTGTTACCATTTTGTCAGGGTCGATGCAAAGTGTATATTCAAACTGGCACTGGCCAAGCCATTGCTTCATTAACACGACATCCTGGTCAGCCCCTGGCCTGTTCTTCTTCATACACATAAGGAAAGCCTTCCGCCTGCCGCTCAGGTCGTAACGCTCCTATTTTCCAGCAAAGCCAAGAAATAATATTTAGACCAAACAATACTCAGAAAGTCAAATATACCATATACAGCTGACCTTGAACAACTCGGGGGTCGGGGGTGCCCACCCTCTTCCAGGTGGAAGATCGGCCTATAACTACAGTCAGCCACCTGCATATGTAGGTTCCCAACTGCCACCTGACCCCTGCACAGCTCGGGTTGGAACTGGGCTGGTCAACTAAAAGCTGCCTGTGTAAGTGGACCCTCGAAGTTCCAACCCGTGTAGTTCAAGGCTCAACCATATAGGAAACGATGAGTTTCTTCTGGGATTAATGGTGAGGTTTCCCAGTTCAGATCAGGGGTACAATACTGATGACCTCTCTTACCAGTTCTGGGGGGGAGGTATGACTTGATTCATAATTCTTCCAAATACCTTTCTCAGACCTGGACTAATAGGCCAATCTCAGAAAATGCCTATATATAGCCATAACTGCCAGTTTAGGGAAATAGGGCACAGTGGTGCAGTCACCAAAATCCAGAATGTGGGACGTTTTACAGGACAAATAGTCTGGCTTCTTTAACAAATACACAACTAGAAAAAGGTTAAAGAAGGAAGAAGTAGCAAGTAAGAATCTTAAGAGACAAACCAGTCAAATGTAATTGTAGACCAGAGTTGTGATTCAAACAAACCAACAGTAAAAGACATAGGAACCAGTCAAGAAAATCAGAATGCTGACTGCATCTTTGCCAAGCTTGAGGAGTTTGTTTTTGGGTAGAATAAGGGTATTATGGATCTGTTTTGGAAAAAAATCTTTCCCGGAGATCCATACTAAAATAAAGAATATGTAGATGAAAGTGATAAGATATCTGGATTTACTTTAAAATAACTGGGAGGGGGAACAGATGAAACAAGACTGGCCATTATGTTGCTAATTGTTGGAGAAGGATGATAAGCATGTTGGGCAGAAGTTGGGAGGATTCATTTTTCCATTCTCTCTACTTTAGCATAGGCTTACAATATCCATAAAACTTAAACAACAAAATCTTAAGGCCATGTAAAGGGTTTATCCCCAGTGGTTCACTTCCTTTGATTTGTAAAATAGAGATAGTAACAGTGCCTCCTTTGGTTAATGCATGCAGGGTGGTTTTAACTGGCTCAAGTTTAGATTTTACTGTTGTAACAGAAAACGGTGAAACAACCACAGGTGGTCAGTCATCTTTAACTTAACTTTACTAATGAATGTACAATGTTGGAGTAAGAGTCAAGATATTTACCAGGTCACCGTCCACACAGTCATAGTTTCTCTTTAGAATTTTCCTCGGGATCACTGAATGAATTTTCATGGAAAGAAAACAGGAAAAAAAAAAGCATTTTTTTTCTTTTCTTTTCAATCAAGCTCCCCCCAAGCATTCCAATTGCCTCTTATGTTTTGGGGTTCAGCAGGCTTCAATCTCGATCTCATTTTAGAACAGGTTACTTCTATTAGGAACTCCCCCAAACTCATGAGGCTGGAAACCTAAAACAGAACTCCCTTAGACCCCAGTCAGGTTCGGGGCAGACAGACCCAAGCCAGAGACTAAAAGGACAAAGACTAATTGACATCATGCATTTCCTGAGGAGAGGTCACCCAGACATCAATAAAGAGAAGATGAAGTAAAGAAATGAGGCCCTATATTATTTTTTATTTAACATGATATCTCAGCATTCAATTCAAATGCACATTGACCTATGGTATGTAGTAGTCATGACATTGTGTAGTTTGGATGATTCTGGGGAAGAAAAAAACCCACACACTTTGCCAACAGCAAGTGCCTCACAGTCTAGAGGATGATAAAAAGTGTAATACATAAACAATTAAGTGCTGTGTAGCTGCAATAAAGAAAGGGAGAATCAAAAGTCAGTAGGACCAGTATCCCCCACTAACAGGCCTTTGTGGGCAATTACATTTCTCATCCAAGGGCTACATACCTCAAAACTCAACCAGACATAAGCAGGCTGAGGGCACAGACCATTCAAAGGACATCTTTTAGGGTTCACCACAAAGCCTCGAATTTAATTTAAGTGTTACCTTCTCTCTCTCTCTCCATTCCCTCAACCTGTTACCTACTGCATTTCTCGATCCTAAATCACATCTTCCCAGATTTATGGCAAACGAGCTAACGGTGCGCACGGGGAAGACCTCCTCCCCCAAACACCCACTGCAGATATGGCAGAACGGATTCCAACACTGGGCTGCTCGCTGTATCATCTAAAAACCTCCCACATCGCAATCACTTGGAGGTACTTATTAAAAACGCACCTCAGGCCCTGGCCACCGTGGCCAAGTAGTTACAGTGACGGCCCGGGGAAGGCTGCTGTTTGGATTCCCAGTCAAGGGCATGCACCGGGCTGCAGGTGCAACCCCCGGCCTGGTTGGGGCTCTTGCAGGAGGCAACCTACCGATGTGAGATGCTTCTCTTTCACGTCGATGTTTCTCTCTCTCTCTACCATGCACTTCCCTTCGACTCTCTAAAAAAAAAAAAAATCGATGCCAAAAAATACCCTCGGGTGAGGATTTTTTAAAAATGCATCTCACGCCTGCTGAGTCTGATTTCTGAGACCACCCCAAAACGAACCAGTATGTCCTGATGGCTACTCTTCAGCTGGACACTCGGATTCCTCGCCTGGAAATGGTGACTAACCTGCCCGCGCACCCCCGGACTCCCATCCCCGCCGCAGGTTCCACCGGTCCCTCGAAGCTCGCACCCTCCCTGCTCGGATCTCCCACCCCGCCCCCACCCCCACCCCCATCCCGGTTCCCGCCGCTCATCTGGGCGCAGAGCCGCCCTCGGGACCGACCCGGGAATCCCCGGGCGCTGGGGCCAAGTCCCGCGCACACTCGGCCGCCTCGCGCGTGTCCCAGCCCGGCACCCCGGCACCCCGGCGCGGGCCGTCCCCGCGCTCACCTGCGCCGTCGGCAGCGGGGTCGCTCTGCCAGCGCGGCAGCAGGTCGGTGCGGGGCAGCTGCCGCAGCACCTTGACGACGACGCGCGGCGCGGCCAGCGGGTTGTAGTGCTTGGCGACCAGCCGGGCCAGCCCCGAGGTGCTGCCGCCCTCCAGCTCCAGCTGCAGCGGGCTCACGCGCGGCTCTTCGTCCACCTTCTTGAGAATGGCGCGGAAGTTACGCAGCTCCTGCGGGGAGAGCACGTCCAGGGTTTCCTGCAAGCGCCTCAGCAGCTCCTCCATGGCCGGCGTGGTCCTCGGGGGTGCCCGGGGGCCGTCGGACCGCGAGAGACGGCCGCCCGCCAGGCCTACCTCCACCGCCAGCCACCCGGACGCCGGACCAATCCGAGGTCTCGGCCCGCGCGCCGCGCACGCCGCCGGTCTCTCCTCTTTGTTTTGAAAAGAGGAGGCGTTTCCGCTGGGCTGCACCCTGGGGCCTGGGCCGCTAATGCCCCTGCGGGCTCGCGCCTGCCCTGAGCCCCAGCCCCGCCCCACCCGGAGCCACGCCCCTCACCCCAGCTCTCGGCTCCCCGCCACCCTGCTGAGCTCTTGCTTAACCCTTGGAGCTCCGATTGGGGGGAGCTGAATGGTGAATCCGGCCCTGCAGAGCCTCTTCTTCCTTGGACTGCGCGTTAGGATCTCCTGGGGAACTTAAAAAAAATTTTTTTTGTTCTTTATTAATTTTAGAGAGAGAAGAAGGGAGAGGAGGTAGAGAAATAGAAACATCAATAAGAGAAAATATGGATTGGCTGCCTCCTACATGCCCCCACTGGGGATTTAGCCCACAACCCAGGCATGTGCCCTGACCTGGAATGGAACTAGCGACCTCTGGGTGGCAGACCTAAACATCAGTAGTTTTTTAAAATAATTTTTCTTTATTGATTTTTAGAGAGAGAAGAAGGGAGAGAGAGATAGAGACACCAAGGAGAGAGAACATCAATTGGCCACCTCCTGCATGCCTCCCCCCCACTGGGGATCAGACCCACAACTCAGGCATGTGCCGGGATTGGGAATCCAACTGGTGACCTCTTGGTGCATGGGTCATCACTCAACCACTGAGCCACAGCGGCTGGGTGGCATCAGTTTTTAAAAGCTCTCCAGTTGATTCCAGTGGGCAGTCAAGTTTGAGAACCACTGATCTTAGACTCCAGAGTGTTTTATCTAAACCAGTAGTTCCCAAGGCGTGAGAACTTAGAAGCTGAAGTAACACCAAGAGGCTATTGCATTGATTCAACTTTTTTGGGAGACAGCGTGATGACAAAAGCAGAGATTTGAGACTTTGATGTCAGCAAGAAGTTAGAAGTACACACTGCTCAGCCTGGGGGCGTGGAAGGGGCATTGCCTTGGTGAGCAGATCTCAGTTTGCAGTCCCCAGAGTCATTATCGCCTGGTTCCTTGGTTTGATCAGGCCCACAGGAACTGACTCACTCTAATCATTGTTTGCCCCCAAGTTACTTACCCTTTTGAACAGCTGGTGAAAGAATCTCGGGACCTTATTTGAGTCCTGATTCAAATAAACCAACTGTAAACATTTTGAGACAATTAGAGAAATGTGAATATGGGATGGGTATTACATGATATGTAAAGAAGTTGAACTTTTTCCAGGTGGGATAATAATATTGCAGTTATGTAGGAAAAAATGTTCATGATTTTTAGAGATGCACATTGAAGTGTGAAAAGGTGAACAGTGTGCTGTCTGGGACCTGTTTTAAAAGCTTCACAAAGGAAGAAAGTGGGGGAAAAGTGGAAAGACAAGCAAGAGTGGCAAAATCCTGATATTGTTCCATCTGGGTGATGTGAATGAGGTCAGTGTACCACTGGCTCCCGTCTTGTGATTGGTTGAAATAGTTCACAATATATTTTTGGAAACTGAGTATAGGCAAACTAGACTACTTAACATTTAACTCCATTCTGACCAGCTGTTGCTGCATGTACACGCTCTGGACGGTTTCTAAACACCTAGGACTGAAACCCAGAGGAACCATAAAGGGGATTAATAAGGGCCTTGGCCCTGGCCGGTTTGGCTCAGCGGTTAGAGCGTCGGCCTGTGGTCCAGAGAGACCCGGGTACGGTTCCCGCTAAGGGCGCGTACCTCGGTTGCAGTTTGTCCCCGGCCCTGGTCGGTTGTGCGGTTGGCAGCCACTCGATGTGTCCCTTCACATCGATGTTTCTTTCTCTCTCTCTCTCTCTCTCTCTCTCTGTTCCTCTCTCTCCCTCCCACTCTACCTGAACAAAAAATGGAAAAATGTCCTCGGGTGAGGATAAAAATAAAAAATAAGGGCCTTGGGAAATTCAGAGAACCATAAAGAAAAAGAGATTAATAATTACCCTGACCTCTGTAACAGCTCCTGTTGCCCCCTATTGTATCAGTTCCCCCTTAATGGCACAAAAGCAGCACCAAGAAAATGTAGTTTTAGTCTTTATAAAACGACTACAAGAATGTTCAGGGCTGCTAATTTGGGAGACCCATGCCCCTGCAGCCTGCCAGTGAATAAAGTGCTCCTCTCCTTGACGATTCGGTTGTGTGTCTCTTGATTGTCTCGCTGGCTCGTTGTAACATAGGCGGCTTGTAAGTTTTGCATCTATCCTCTTTTGGCTTTGCCTTACCAGGCCTTCTCTCTCTCTCTAGTTTCCAGATGACTATTTCCTCCCACAAAGCCTTGCCTCTAAATAATTTACTTCAAGTTTGAGGCAGCCAAGCATGAAAAAAAAAAAAAAAAGATGGCTGAGACCCTGCACTGAACGATGTTTACAGAGCTTTACAGAGCCAGCTGGAGCTCACCAACCACTTCCTTTCTGAAATTTAATACTGTGGGAGACTACAGAACAGGAAAAAACAAATTCTTGAGGCCTGGGATATGCAGACCCCAGGGTCACATGCCTCTGAATCAGGGTTCACAAAGGCACATTTCAGTTTTACCCAATGTTTAGAGAAAATTAGACTATTTCTCCAGTCTTTTGACTATTTGCCCCAAAAAGAACAAATGAAGAGCACAGAATGGGGTCTCTGTTGGCTGAAATTCACCAGCCAAGTATAAGGTGAGCAAATATGCACTGGGCTGAAGCCCACACCTCTGGGCCTCATCTCTACGCTCCTCCCCACCCCCACCCCCAGGGGCCTCACTGACTGAGGTTCCAAAGGCCCAAGATGAGACTCCAAGGAGAATGAGGGGCCTGAGAAAGGCCCTGAATGCTCTGGCTGAGTTGGAGTTCTTAGGGGGCAGCCACTCCATCCAGTGCCTGTGTTAATCTGCCTCTTCTCCATTCCTGTCCCTGCGCACCATCTCCAGTCCCAAGTGCTGCCCTGCTTTCCCCGCACAAGGCCTCACACAGGACACCAAGCACTGGGGACATGGGTGCCGCTATATCCGCATCCTACTCTGTTCTCTCCTATATTTACATGTTCTCCCCATGTTTTAACCTAAAACCCAAAGTATAAACTTAAACTTAGAAATCATTGAAATTAATATGTTATGGTTGACTTGTGTCCCTCAAAAAGACATGTTGGAGTCTTAACCCTCAGTTCTTATGTGACCTTATTTGGAAAGAGGGTCTTTGCAGATGTAATGAAGTTAAGGTGAGGTCATGTTGGGCCCTAATTCAATGACTAGTATCCTTAAAAGACAGAAATTTGAACAATGTAGCAAATGTCCCACTTGGGTCTGTGCCTGGGAGCCATAGCAGGAACACCTGGGAAGATGGAGCCACCGGCCTGGCCTCCTCTTTGGTGCCAGGTCACAGTGCTCGAGGGCCCCCCAGATGCAGACCAGGGTGCCCCCCAGGTGGTAGATGGTGCTGAGATAGTGATCTTCCAAATGAAGGCTCTGAAAACTTTTGGGTTCTCTATAAGAACTACAAAAATTGAAGGAGCCCAGCCAGTGTGGCTCAGTGGTTGAACGTTGTCCCATGCCCCAAGAGGTCACCGGTTGGATTCCTGGTCAGGGCACATGCCCAGGTTGTGGGCCCGATCCCCAGTGGGGGGCATGCAGGAGGCAGCCAATCGATGTTTTCTCTAATGGATGTTTCTATCTCTCTCCCTCTCCCTTCCTCTCTCTCTAAAAATAAAGAAAAAAAAATTTTTAATTGAAGGAAAGAAAATGTTTTAAAGCAGTGGTTCTTAACCTTCCTAATGCCGCAACCCTTTAATACAGTTCCTCATGTGGTGACCCCCAACCATAAAATTATTTTTGTTGCTACTTCATAAGTCTAATTTTGCTCCTGTTATGAATCGCCATCAGAAGTATATGTTTTCCGATGGTCTTAGGCGACCCCTCTGAAAAGGTTGTTTGACCCCCAAAGGGGTCGCGACCCACAGGTTGAGAACCACTGTTTTAAAGGGAATTGTTTTGAAACCATGTTTACAACTAATACTGTTCACAGTTTTTAAAAATAAAACCCTTCGAGAAGATTGCATTTATGGTAAGAGGAAACTGGATTAACAATGAGGCCAAAGATTTTCCTGCCACAACAGTCCGCAGAGACTGCAGGAGATTCTTCCACCCAGGGGCCACCTGTGGGACCAAGGGACACTTCCCTGGACACCAGGGTCCTGGGGGGCAAGGATGTTGCCCGAGACCCCAAAGTTCTGTCCGTACCAGAAAGCCCTGCGGGAGATCAAATACTCCTGTTGCCCTTTGCCAGCAAATCAGGTCCCCCGGACGCTGCAGAGATGAACTGACAGATGCCACAGGAGCAGGGGAACGCTAGCCGTGAGCAGGGTGACCTACAGCGGATGTGGTCTGAGCCATTCCATTCCAAGTCCAGCAGCTCCCGATTCCTGGAAGTATGATGGATCAGAGAGTGACCAGAATGGCCATCTTCATCCCTTTCTGTCAATGCATGGTTTCATTTCCTCTTAGAGTTGGCCTGGTACCCGGAGATGTACCTGTTTAAGGAACTGCTGAGTGACTGGATTTCACGTTTGCAGGGAGCTTGTTTTCGGGAGCCCTGCTGGGATCCTTCTCTTCCTGCCCCTGCAGTGACAGGCTCTCCCCAACCCTCCTTCCTCCCTATTTCTATGTGCCTGCACTAGACTGTCACCTGTAGGGGGTGGAGATGTTGACTGTTTAAAACCGACAGTGGCAAGAAGTCGGTTCACACCTTTTGAACACTAGAAGAATGAAAAACATTAGCAAACTGAAGTTTCTTCAGTGAACCCTCAACTTTGGGACCAGTTTCCAATGGGGAACTCAGTTTCAGAGAACTGAGACAGAAGCTCTTCTGTCCTTATATTCTTCTTTCTTTTTTGGGGGGGGGGATTTATGAAATATTTTCTATGGTGTGAAGTGACTTATTAAATCCACAGACATCGAGTGACTTCTTAATACATACACATAAGAATTGTTGTCAAGAGTTCATGTCCACCCAGATGTTTGTTGGCGGTGAACGAGGGCACGGTTTTTATACTTACACACACACATAGATCTATATGAATAAATAAAACTTAACCCCTGCTAAGATCATGCTGTGCAGCACACGGGCTTCTGTAGCTGTCAGGATGCAGAGCTGGCTCCTCCGGCTTCCTAGTATCTGGATAAGCTGCTCTTTCCCTCCACAACTGAGCGGTGTTAAAACCAGTGTAGCATTTGTACTGACATATTCATGACTTCAGGGGACTCTTATATGGTTTTGATTAGTGTAGCAAATAAGGGATGAAAAGATAAACATTTTGCTCCCCCACCTCCTTTTTTGTCTCTACAGGCTTCTCCCTTGCAGGGTTTTTAGTACTTTCTTCTCGAACTGATAGATGTATTATAGCAGCAGGTGTCTTTGTGCTTTCTAATCATAGTAATGTGCTACTTATAAATACATTTTCCTATTTTCAAAAAAAAGAGAGAGAGAGAGAAGTTTGGACACTGAGAGACACACAGAGGCAGAGATTGGAATAAGTGCAAGGACTTGCCAGTAGCCACCAGAAGCTGGAAGAGACAAGGAACTGAAGCCTTCGGAGTATGGCCCTACTGACACCTTGATTTCAGATTTGTAGGATCCAGAACTGAGAACAAATTTCTGCTTAGAAGCCACCCAGTTTGTGCTAATTTGTTGCGGCAGCCCTAGGCAGGAAATACAATCTGCTCATCTAAACCTCACCACCACCCTAGGGTTAGAAGTATGGCTATCCCCCATTTCCTACACAGTCTCAAGGGCGTCTAAGTGGGGAGCCCGGCTCTCGACCTGGGCTGCCTGAATCAAAGGCCGGAGACCTTTGTTCCTACCCAGGAGACCCGACTTCCCCTTCCTGCTTCAAGGAACGGCACTTTCCTAAGCTTGAAAGTTGATAGAAGAACTTGGGTGCCCATTCGAATGGCTGTAATAAATAAAACAGACAATAAATAACAAGTGTTGAGGAGAAGGTAGGGAAACTGGAATCCTCATACTCTGCTGCTGGGAATGTCAGATGGTGCAGCCACTTTGTGGGTTTCTCGAATGGTTCAGCAGAATCACACGATCCAGCAATTATCCTCCTAGGCATACAGGGGTGGGCAAAAATGGGTTATAGCTGTGAGTATGGGAAACACTTTATTCTTGTATTATTATTTATTCATTTTTGTATTATTTGCATTATGTAAATCTACCTTTGCCCAGCCCTGTACATGCAAGAAATGAAAATGTCCACACTAACATGTGTACATGCACGTTCATAACAGCATCATTCATAGGAGCCCCAAAGTGGAAACGATTCAAAGATTAGTCTACTGCTGGATAAATGAGGGGTACAGGCATACATAGCATTCTGCCATAAAAAAGGACAAAGTGGCCCTGGCCAGTTTGGCTCAGCGGTTAGAGCGTTGGCCTGCGGTCCGGAGAGACCCGGGTTCGGTTCCCGCTAAGGGCACGAACTTTGGTTGCAGTTTGTCCCCGGCCCTGGTTGGTCATGCGGGTGGCAGCCACTCGATGTGTCCCTTCACGTCGATGTTTCTCTCTCTCTCTCCCTTCTTCTCTCTCCCTCCCACTCTATCTGTACAAAAAATGGAAAAATGTAAGAGCATACATACAGTACGACTCCTCACCCGAGGACATTTTTGCGTTTATCTTCAGATAGAGCAGGAGGAAGAGAGGGAGGAAGAGAGAAACATCAATGTGAGAGAGGCACATCGACTGGTTGCCACCCACATGACCCCAACTGGGGCCAGGGACAAACTGCAACCGAGGTATGTGCCGGTAGTGGGCACTGAACCCGGGACTCTCTGGTCCGCGGGCCGATGCTCTAACCACTGAGTCAAACCGGCCAGGGCCACAATCAAATCTATAGACAGGGAACAGATCAGTTGCTGCCTGGGGCTGGGGTCTGGAATGAGGATTAATGGTAGATGAGAGATATTGTGGGTGGGGGCGGACAAATGTATTCTAAAACTGATTTATGGTGATGGTCGCACCATTCAGTAAAGTTACTAAAAAATCACTGAATTGTATATTTGTTTTTTTAAATTTGTTTTTTATTGATTTTTAGAGAGGAAGGAAAAGGGAGAGAGAGATAGAAATATCAATGAGAGAGAACATCGGTTGGCCGCCTCCTGCATGCCCCCCACGGGGGACCGGTCCACAACCCAGGCATGTGTCCTGACCAGGAACTGAACCGGTGACCTCTTGGTGCTGGGGTCAATGCTCAACCACTCGCCACACCAGCCAGGCCTGAATGTATATCTGAAATGGGTACATTGATGACAAGTAACATAAAGCTGTTTAAAATGTTTAGGTCCTAAATGTTAGGACCTAACAGAGTGATGACACTCTAGGTTTTCCAAACAGTTTTCAATGATAACGTGCTTCGTCATACTTATCTGAACTTCAGCTGCAGAAAAATGCAGAATTCAGAGTTGAAGCAGTGCTGGGGCCAAGACAAAAACTATTTGGACACTTGGAGGCTAGGAAGCCACTGTCCCCCTTCTGCAGAGCCTGCGAGGTTGATGAGGAACCAAATAAGTAATTGAGTGCTTTTCTTCCTCATCCTAACATTATCTCAGACATAGACTTCGGCCTGGTGACAGTGACTCCTCTCTCTGCAGAACCAGTGCCCCTCCGGGCCCCCCACCCCACCCCAGCTGGAGCTCCTCGGCCCCAGTGGGCAGCCTACAGCTTCTCTGGCTTTGCGATTCCTTGCCCAGGAACAGTTCCAAAGAGGCAGCATGGTGTCGGTGAGGGGTTGAAGCAGAGACCCCGACAGAGCTCTCTCTCGGGAAAGGCTTTCAAGTAGCCTTGCAAGGTGTGCAAACCCTTCTCCTAACTTCCCAAGATGCTGATGTCTCCCTGACTCCTCTTTAGGGAGATTCTGAAGGCTTGAGTCAGGCCCATCTATTCTCTCCTTGAACTGGGCAACAAGGTGACATATCTGCCTGGCTGTCCAGAAAGGACTCGATCTCCCTCCAGAATAGTGAGATGACGCAGCCCCGGCAGAAGCCAGGCAGGACAACGGATCCCATCCTTTCCCAGGGCCCTCTGGGTCAGGACTTCAGGCCCATCCTGGCCATCATCTCTTCATAGACTGTCCACGCCATGGCTGCCATCAGAGTCCTGCGCAGAGCCCGAGGGACGCCACCTTGGAAGAAGCCACGCAGCCCATAGTCCTAGGAGGGAAACAGAGGTCAAAACTCTGCTAAGCAGCAATATAATTATATACCTGGCACAAGAGCGAGGATCTCTCTCTGTTACCCCATTTCTGAATCTTAGATTTAGACTTTTGTTTTATTATTATTTTTAATTTATTTATTTTTTCCTTTTTATTGATTTTACAGAGAGAGGAAATGAGAGGGAGAGAGACAGAAACATCAATGAGAGAGAACACTGATGGGCCGCCTCCTGCACGCCCCCCACTGGGGATCAGGCTCACAACGGGGGCATGTGCCCGGACCGGTCATCGAACCTGCGACCTCTTGGTGCATGGGTCGGTGCTCAACCACTGAGCCACACTGGCCAGACAGGTTTTAGACTTTTATAAATAATGTAAAACTATGACTAATGGGTCTAAGGAGACAACGAACTTAAAAAAAATTTTTGGCCCTGGCCGGTTTGGCTCAGCGGTTAGAGCGTCTGCCTGCGGTCCGGAGAGACCCGGGTTCGGTTCCCGCTAAGGGCACGTACCTCGGTTGCAGTTTGTCCCCGGCCCTGGTTGGTCGTGCGGGTGGCAGCCACTCGATGTGTCCCTTTCACATCGATGTTTCCCTCTCTCTCTCTTCCTCTCTCTCCCTCCCACTCTGTCTGTACAAAAAATGGAAAAATATCCTCGGATGAGGATAAAAAAAAATTTTGGCACAGCTGTTAAACTTTAACTTTCTCGGCTCGCCCTGCACAGGGGATTATTACTGGCTGTACAGGTGCACGGCTTCGCAGCTCACGCAAGCCCCAGGCCCCAGGAGAAGGTGCCTTTTTTGGCAATTTCTCTGCCCAGAGGGAGTTTTCTTTTCTTTTTTAATTAATTGTATATCCTTGGGGACCCTATATAAGAATTAAAGACAAAACACCTCTTTGTCCTCCTTCCTAATCTGGACTGATTTGTTCATTCCCACCGTTATCGCTCCTGCCATTTCACATGTACTGAAGAATATATTTCAAACTCTATGACTTTCGGGACAGGGAAGAAGGAAGCAGGCAGCCCAAGCAGCGTGAGCATGTGACCAGATTCACAACCATCTGCTTTGTCTGGGGGACAGGTGCCGGATGCGGATTCCTCACGCGCTTGCTCTGCTGCACTTTAGAAAAACCTAAAGCTGCAGGTGACAAGTTGGCCGTGAACAGGAGTATCTGGTGGCCGATAAGAGCACGGTTCCCAGCCAACTCAGTGGCTTTTAAATAGCACTTCAGTGTACTGTGCCTTTTATCTTCAGTGACACTTTGTATGAGAGCAAACTGCTAGAAATAAAACAATGTGTTTGTGGTTTTTTTCTGACTATGTCTTGTATTTCCTCCTGGGTCCTTGATCAGATCCTTAGGTGCCCCCAGATCCCCTGATTCAATAGGTTTGGGGGTGGAACCCTACAATCTACATGCTTAACAAATACCACAGGTTGTCCTAATGTAGGGTCCCTACCAACACACAAACCAACCATAGGTTTTCAGCAGTGGTTCTCAACCTTGGCAACATATTGGAACCACTGGGGAACTTAAAATGCTGACACCTGGGCTTTACCAACACCCCTCCCCCCGCCCGGAGATTCTAATATAATCAGAATGGGTATTTTTAAAAGCTCCCCAGGTGATTCTATTGTGTAAAGGATAAGAGCTACCACTACTCTAGAGAGAGAGAGCCTTAACCATAATGAGAACAAATACTTATTCTATTGCCTTACTTTGAAGATGATTGTCACTGCCTGGCCAATCCACCGAAACTTCACTGGGGAGAGCTGCATATGAGTCTTGATAACATCTGCAGGCTGAGTTACCAGTGAGGCCAGAGTACCAGCAAATATTCCACAGCTGAAATGTACAACGGGAATAAGGGCTGCATCCAACTGGTCTGAAATAGGACAAAGGTAATGTTCAGTTATAAATCAATCTCATATTCATCAGATAAATATCAACAAGTAGCCACTAATTCTTCTCCAAAGCCAGAAGGGCTGGGATTCAAATGAGGTTAAAAATGTAAGGTTTTGCCCTGGCCAGTTTGGCTCAGCGGTTAGAGCGTCGGCCTGCGGTCCGGAGAGGCCCGGGTTCGGTTCCCGCTAAGGGCACGTGCTTTGGTTGCGGTTTGTCCCCGGCCCTGGTTGGTTGTGCGGGTGGCAGCCACTCGATGTGTCCCTTTCACGTCGATGTTTCTCACTCTCTCTCCCTTCCACTCTGTCTGTACAAAGAATGGAAAAATATCCTCGGGTAAGGATAAAAAAAAAATGTAAGGTTTTTAGCCCTGGCCAGTTTAGCTCAGTGGTTGAGCGTCGGCCTGTGGACCAGAGTAGTCCTGGGTTCGGTTCCCGCTAGGGGCACGTACCACAAAAAAGAAGAAAAAAAAGGTAAAGTTTTTAAAGATATAACTAATAAATATAGATGGAATAATGGAGTGAAAATTTCACATTTCTTTCTTTCTTTATTATTTTTTTATTATTGATTTTTTAGAGATAGAGGAAGGGAGAGATAGAAACATTGATGTGAGAAAGAAACACTGATTGGCTGCCTCCTGCACGCCCTCAACTAGGGATCAAGCCCGCAGCCCAGGCATATGCCCTGACCAGAAATCGAACCAGGACCTCTCAGTCCATGGGACGGTGCTCAATCCACTGAACCACACTGGCCAGGCACAGTTCACATTTTTACAACCCTCACATAAGTGATTCAAGTAAGAAACAATGACTGATGCTCAAACAAATGGATTAAGGGAACAGGATGTTTTCTATGGATTTATGTAGATTCAAAGTATCTCCCCACAGAGATACTCACCATTACAAAAGAAAAAAAGCATTGAGTTTTCAGTGGAGGCACTACCTTACCCACCTGATAAAAAGTTAACATCACCCACAATGGATCAGACTGATGTCATGGGCTTCCTGTGTAATGTGCTGAAGACACAGTATCACTTACGTGGTCCTCTGATAAAAATGTACATAGTAATTGAATGTAGTCACAAGGAAATATCAGATAAAGCCAGGCTAAGGTTATGAAACTGGCCTATACTCTTTTTTTAATCCTCACCCGCGGATATTTTTTCCATTTTTGTTCAGATAGAGTGGGAGAGAGAGAGAGGAAGAGAAGGAGAGAGAGAGAAACATCAATGTGAGAGGGACACATCGACTGGTTGCCTCTTGCACAACCCCAACCAGGGCCAGGGATGAACTGCAACTGAGGTACGTTCCCTTGACCAGAATCGAACCCATGACTCATTGGTTGGTGGACTGACACTCCAACTGCTGAGCCAAATTGGCCAGGGCCCGGCCTGCCTATACTGTTGAAATAAAAAATAAAAACTGCGCCCTGGCCGATTTGGCTCAGTGGTTAGAGTGTCGGCCTGTAGACCAGAGAGTCCCGAGTTCGGTTTCTGCTAAGGGCACGTACCTTGGTTGCAGTTTGTCCCCACCCTGGGTGGGGTCATGTGGGTGGTAACCAGTCAATGTGTCTCTCTCACATCGATGTTTCTCTCTCTCTCTTCCCCTCTCTCTCCCTCCTGCTCTATCTGAAGATAAATGCAAAAATGTCCTCAGGTGAGGATTAAATAAGTAAAATAGAATAAAAGTTGCTACAAAGTATTCTATTGGAACAACTGCAGAAATTAAGACTACAGACTGGACTTTAAGGAACTATATCTATGTAAAATTTCCTGAATCTGATAAGATGGTTATATAAGAATGCCTTTGTTCTTAGGAAACACACACTGAGGTATTCAAGGGTAAAGGAGCATCATGTCTGCAACTTACTCTAAATGGATTGGAAAAAACAATTACACACATAGAATAATAAAGGGCTATGGAGTTATTTGTATTATCCTTTGACTTTCTTGTAAGTTTAAAATGATTTCTAATAACAAATTTTTTTAAAAAGCATGTAAAAATGAGTTGGGAAGTTAAAAACATACATCCAAGTTCTCTTACTGTTTCACCTTCCTACTGTGAAATAAGGCTGTGACCCGCAGTGTTGCACCTTCGGGTGCCTGGGGAGAAGCTCATTTCCCAAAGCACCCAGCTGCAGCTGGTCGCCACTGTCATGTGCCAGCACTCCCGATTTCCCAGGTAAATGACGCTGCTTGCAATTCTTTGCTCAAACCATCCATAGCCACGGTACTGAACACAGGATCATCCCACAGGATGTTTCTATCAATATCTGGCTCTGTTGGGTGGACGTTTACGCCCACTGATTTTGTCCATGTCTTGTCCAACGTGAGCTTACTGTGGGGTGGGCCTGCCGGAATGCCTGAGGTTTGGCACCTTCCTCTCTACCCAAATGGAAGGCTCAACACAGCATTAACTGGGAACACAGCAAAGAAGAGGAAAAGAATATTTTTCTTCCAGCTCTTAACCATTTGGCATTTCCCAAACTTGTCTGAAAAAGGAATCACATCAAGTGCATTTAAAAAAATACAGACTCCCAGGTCTAATCACAAAGCTTCTGACTTAGGAGGCCTTGGGTGGAACCCAGCAATCTTAAGATCAGGCAAATTCAGGATGTATTCTTGCAGGATCTCTGTAAAAGTGCTTTCTCCCACCCCACTCCCCACTCGAGAATCACAGTACACCCCTTTCCAAAGGCTCCCCTGAAAGGTCAGGGACCGAGCTTGTCATGTCCACTGCGCCCAGCACCGGGCCCTTGCCCGCCACAACGCCCCGGCGCAGGCCCTAAAACTCTGCTACGGACCTGGAGCAGCAAACAGTCTCAGCGTCACAGAGAAAGAGGTAAGGACGCGTTTCAGAGAGATCTCTTCCCCACCACACCTTCCCTTATCCGTACCGTGGGGCACAATGGTTTTGGTCTGGTTGTAGAACATCAGGTAGATTCCAGAAAAGGGAGCATCCCGAAGGAGCGTTGCTGTCAGGCCGCTGAAGAGGCCCCGGTGCCCCTCGCTGCGATAGATGCTCCGCAGGGCCGCGTAGATGCTCTCGTAGGCATACCGCCCGCTCTGCAAGGGAAGCACAGAACCAGGCGCTCACATGGGGCCCTGGGCAGGTGGCATTGCCAGGGCACTCGGGGCTGCGGTTCACACCCGGCCTCGCCTACATACACAAATGGGTTCTCTGGCCACATCAGCCTCTAGGTTAGATTATAAATTGGAAGGTGACATTAGTGGCCACTGGACTCAAGAGCCCAGTGCCTCTGTATACCCACCCTGGGGGCCTAAAGTAGTCAAACTCACCTCATAACGTGTCTTGATCACAGTGATGGGCAACATGCAGACCCCTGCAACTGAGCGAGAGCCCGCCCCCAGGATGACCGACTCCATGGCAGTGGGGGGATGGCCTGGCAGGAAGTACTGCTTCAGAGAGTAGAGCGTGCCAAAGTAGATGCCAACGCCAGGGACACACCTCACAATGGACTGCGGGGGAGGGGGAGTGGAGAAGGAAAGAAATAAAACACCCCACACTATAAAATACTGTATTAGCTGGATTTCCCCAAAAGACCCAGGATTTGCATGCTCAGGAAAGGCAGCCAAGAGGGCGTGTTTTCTAATCAGTTACTGCCACAGGCAGCCCAATCCCTCTGGGAAACTGTGGGCATCAGTGGAGGATGTGCCTGTTATCCCTCCACCTGAGGAGGGAGGGGGTCTACGCGGCACCAACAAGTCCGACTTTGTTAGTGTAGCGACATTACGTTCCCAGCCCTCGCAGAAGTCGGCAACAGCGTGCGACTTGGCGGAGACCACGTGGGTGCCCCCACCACTGCCAACTCTCACGATTGCTTGAAGGAGGGTACTGAGGTAGGTGTGAAATGAAGGCGAGGTAGAGATCCAAAGGCAGCTTACAGGGGACATCCCTTTCCACAGGCCCAGGAGACTCTCGGTGCGGACCACCTGCAGGAGCAGCGCCAGCATCCCGACTCGTCTGGACCTGAGGGCAAGCGACAGGCGGTGAGGAGGGGAAGTCACTCAGACCACACCCTTCCCGCAGTGCTGAACCCAATATGGGGCACAAGAAAGGCACTCAATACTTGCAGCACAGTTACAGCCAGCACATAAAATGCAAATGTCACCCAGGCAGATCCCAGGAAGTTACTCAGGGAAGGACCCCATTTAATTAACATTACACTACATCAATTACACTAACTAATATAAAAAATATTCACAGAAAAGAAGATGCACAAAAGCCAAGAGAAAGGTGGGCCCAGCCTGTTCCCAGGTGAACAGCCAACAGAATGGAAGCCGACTTAACCCCTTAGATGCTCCTGTGCCAGAGAGAAGTTGCTGAAGGCATTTCCTCGGGGCAATGGGGCAGCAGGCCTTACCCCGGGGCTGCAGGCTGGAGAGTCTGCAGGCGCGTTTTGAGGAGATCCAGGGGCTGGAAAAGGAGGGTAGAGCATGTGCCGCTGATGGAGCCGCACAGGAAAGCCTTGATCACCGGGTGCAGCTGCAGGAGAGAGACGGCTGTCAGCAGCGCGGCCGCAGCAGGCCGCACCTGGGGAAGGATCGCGCACCTGGCGGCGCCCTGGACCAGCTTCAGACTCAGCGCAGGGAAAAGCGTAGCGGGGCGCAAACAGGGCTGCAAGGTTGTTGAGACCCCGGCACACCGCAAGGGGAGCTCTCGAGTCTTAGTCTTGATAATTACTTTGCTGCTACTGAGCAACAACAAATCTACTTCATCTGTGAAGCCACCAACCACACCTCCCTGTGTGTCCCCACAATCAAAGTTATTGCCCATCTCCTTATCGTCACAAAGGCAAAACCGACTGAACATAGTGTGTGAACTCTGGTTTCCAGGCTCCCTTGGCTACAAGACAAGGAAATGAAACCTGAAGCTCAGCCGCAGTGTGAAAGGTGTGCCCCCTCCTGTGAAACCTATGGATTTCCTTGACTTAAAAGTTTCCCCTCTCTTACACCTAAGCAGCTCACAGAGGGTGCCACAGCCCAATGGCCTTTCCTGGTTTGCTAGCTCCCCTTTAAGCCAGGACCGGCAAACACACTGGTGAGTCCAGAGTCACCACCAGGAAGGGGCAGGCCTCCATCAAAAACGAAACGTACCTCCCCGGCAGGCTCGAGCCCTCACAGCATGCCCCCGAGCCCTCACAGCATGCCCCCGATCCAGCCTCAATCACACAAGGTTGTGAAAGGCACTTTTAAAAATAAACAAAACAGCCCTGGCTGGTTTGGCTCAGCGGTTGGAGCGCCAACCTGTGGACCACAGTCCTGGGTTTGGTTCCCAATAGGGGTATGTACCCCAAAAAAGGAACAAAACAAACTAATGAACAAAATAGACCTAGAGATATAGAAGTAGGGTACAGACTGACAAACCTCAGAAGAGGGAGTGCGGGGGAGGGAAGAGACAAACCACAGAACTTATATGCATGTGCATGTAACCAATGGACATAGACAACAATGCTGGGGACAGGGTTGTGGGGGAGGATCGGGAAAAGGGTGTCAATGGGGGAAAAAGGAGAAACATCTGTAACAAAAATAAATAAATATACTTAAAAATTCAATCAGGCCCTGGCCAGTTTGGCTCAGCGGTTGAGCGTCAGCCTGCGGACCAGAGAGGCTGGGGTTTGGTTCCCGCTAGGGGCACATACCACACACACACAAAAATTCAATCAGGGGTCGAACATTTCTCTATCAGAAAGGATGCTGGTGTTAAGGCAACATAACTAGCATGTCTTCCAGTGTTTTGACAAAACCGCAGAAGCATGAAATCTGTGATTTCAAATTGTTGGAGTGATCACTGCATCCCTGGGGTCGCAGCTTTCTGTAAGTTTGCTGTGGCTGAACCAAGAAAGGAAACATACACAGATTTCTACAGAATTTATGATTCCATGAAAGATTTTGAGGAGATGAGGAAGACTGACGTCTTTCAGAGTGCAGGGTGATTTGGGAACGTCAAGAATTTCTTTGGGTTGTTCCATGGAAGTCTGTCACTGAGCTGTGTTCCTGGACTATGAAACATGAACATCTGCACTAAGGAATAGCTTCTCTTGGTAAACAGTTAAGAAACACTGTGAAAAAATCCAATCAAGAAAGAAAGCCCTTAAGCGAAATAAACCAGTTAGAGAAACAAATATCACATGATCTCATTTGTAAGTGGAATCTAAAGAATAAAATATAAACTGAAAAACAAAATAGGTCCAGAGGCATGGATGCATAGCACAGACTGACAGGTCTCAGAGGGGAGAGGGTGGGAGGATGGGAAGAGATTAAACAAAGAATTTATACGCATAGTCCACGGACACAGACAATAGCATGGGGAAGGCCTGGGGTGGGGTGGGGATTGGGTAGAGGGGGGCAAAAAAGGAGAAATGGGAGACACCTTTAATACTGTTAACAATAAAAAGAAAAAAGCCTTCTTCTCCAAAAGAAGATACTTGGCCACCCCATTCAAAAAGACTTTCTCGCCCTGGCCGGTTTGGCTCAGCGGTTAGAGCGTCCGCCTGTGGTCCGGAGAGACCCGGGTTCGGTTCCCGCTAAGGGCATGTACCTTGGTTGCAGTTTGTCCCCGGCCCTGGTTGGTCATGCGGGTGGCAGCCACTCGATGTGTCCCTTTCACATCGATGTTTCCCTCTCTCTCTCTCCCTCCCACTGTGTCTGTACAAAAAATGGAAAAATGTCCTTGGGTGAGGATTAAAAAAAAAAAAAAAAAAAGACTTTCTCTCCCTGCCCTGGCCGGTTTGGCTCAGCCGTTAGAGCGTCGGCCTGCGGTCCCGAGAGACCCGGGTTTGGTCGTGCGGGTGGCAACTACACGATGTGTCCCTTCACGTCGATGTTTCTCTCTCTCTTCCTCTCTCTCCCTCCCACTCTACCTGAACAAAAAATGGAAAAATGTCCTCAGGTGAGGATAAAAAAAAAAAAAAAAAAGACTTTCTCCCCCCTCATTTTATTTATTTATTTATTTATTTATTTATTATTTTTTATCCTCACCCGAGGACATTTTTCCAATTTTTGTTCAGATAGAGTGGGAGGGATAGAGAGGAAGAGAGAAAGAGAGAGAAACATCGATGTGAAGGGACACATCGAGTGGCTGCCACCCGCACGACCCAATCAGGGCCGGGGACAAACTGCAACCGAGGTACATGCCCTTAGCGGGAACCGAACCCGGGTCTCTCTGGACCACAGGCCAACGCTCTAACCACTGAGCCAAACCAGCCAGGGCCCCTCATTATTTTTAATGAATGGTATACTGTGGCCCTAAAATGAATATGAAGTTGCCCGTAAGCACATCATGTAACCAAAATGATTGTAATATAATATGTTTCCCAGAGAAGAGAACTTTCCACATTCCACCAAACAAGCAAGTCTCAAGCTATCACTGTTATTACTTAAAAGACTGTTGGGGAAAGGACTAGATAAGTTCACATAGTAAATACTGGAGCTTATAACCGCGTTCAGGTGGCTTGTAAAAGTATCCAAGGGTGGTAGAATTGGTAAGACAACAAGCAAAACCGAGCAAAAAATGTACTTTGACAGGTCAGAGGGAGCACAAAGCCCCTCCCCCAAGGAGCAGAGTCTTGCCCCTCCTGCTAACACATGTTCCCAGAAGTTTGTTTCTCTGCTCACCTGAGCCATTCGTCCCTGAACCCTCGGCCGCCCCCTTCCAGTGGCTTTTTCTCCTTTGCCTGGAAACAAGCTCGCGAGCCCCCCAGCTTCCCAGCCCCACGACAGACCATCCATCTCCTCTCCCTCTTTCCTCGCTCACTCCTCAGGCCCCCAACATTTGCCATCCAACTAAGGCTTCTCCAAAGCTGCACCCCAGGACCCCTTTCCCGTCTTCATCCTTCTCTTACGTGGCCTCTCTGGTGCATCTGAGATGTGATGGCCTTGCCTCTCGGGTTTGGGTTTCTCTCTCGTCCTCTTTCAGCTGCCCTGCTAGGTCTCCCTTCCCTCGGCCTGCCTGCAGATGTTGATGTTCCTCTTATCTCCTCCGGCTGCAGCCTTCCAGGGCAACTCAACCCCGCCCACGCCCACGCCCACGCCCACGCCCACGCCACGCAGGAGGCGACGCCCACACCTCCAGCCCAGGGCAGCCTCTGCCAGAGGCCGCTATTCCCACGCCTCCTCCACCTCCTGGCACACGATGTCGACACAAGAACCTCCAAACCTGTACAGAATTCTTGTAAGAAGAATGTATTTGAGCCAAACTGACAATTGCCTGGGAGCAAGATCTAAAATGCTCCCAAGAATGACAGCTTTGCAGCTTCTTTTATGAATGTGGAACTGAGAGAAGTAAAGATTACAAGAAGGTGGAAGAAACAAGGCAGATTAAATTACAGGACACTTAACAAGATTATGTGTTTTTTTTGGGGGGTGGTCATTTCAAAGGTGTGTTAACCTAGATTCACAAAAACAACGTACAGGGCTTGCTTAAGGCAAAGACAAACCTTTTACTAAAAAGTTATATGCCTGGTACATGACAAACCAGTTAGGATTTATGATTAGATCACCCTGTGAAGTTACTTTCCACAGATACTTTTTAAAAAAATCCTCACTCGAGGATATGTTTTTCCTGTTATTATTATTAATTTTTAGAGAGAGAGAGAGAGAAAGAAAAATATCGATCAGTTGCTTCCCATATGTGCCTCAACTGGGGAATCGAACCCGAAACCTAGGTAAGAGCCCTGACCAGGAACAAACCCACAACCTTTTTTGGTTTACCAGATGACCCTCCAACCACTGAGCCACCTGGCTGGGGCTCCATAGAAACCTTTTTTTGGTCCACAATCAGCAGTATAGATTAACTTTTAATTGTTAAAAAAAAAAAAAATAATAGGTTATGTAATTGTTTAAAAATTTTACACTTTTGCCCTGGCTAGTTTGGCTCAGCAGTTATAGACTGTTGGCCTGGGGACAGAAGGGTTGAGGATTCCATTCCGGTCAAGGGCACGTACCAGGGTTACAGGTTTGTAGGTTCGATCCCCAGCCCTGGTCAGGGTCAGAGGGCTGTGTGGGATACAACCAATCAATGTGTCTCACTCACACTAATGTTTTTTCTCTTTCTCACCCTCCCTTCCACTCTCTAAAAATCAATGGAAAAAGAGTCCTCGGGCGTGGATTAACCAAAACAATTTTTTTTACACTTTTGCCCTGAGCAGGTAGCTCAATTGGTTTGAGCATCAGCCCCATTCGCCAAGGTTGTGGGCTGATCTCTGGTCAGGTACATGCCAGAAGCAACCAGTGAATGCATAAATAAGTGGGACAACAAGTCAATGTTCTTTCTCCCATCTTTTCTCTTTCTAGAATCAATCAATCAATAAAAAATTTACACTTTTCATTTTGAATAGTCTTCAAATGTTATCAATGGCGAATGGCACATCTTTTGAGAACATATTTGATTTTTTTCTAAATAGCCCAAAGTTATTCAAGGTACATAAAACGAGTAACCCAGTTTTTGTTTGTTTGTTTGTTTGTTTGTTTGTTTTTGAGGGGTGGATAGGGCAAAAACAACTGAACAATACTACACAGGTACATAAAGGCAATGAGTAGAACTTTGTTAACAAACTAGTTCCCAAAGCAATTTCTACATCCCTTAAAAAAAAAAAAAAAAAAAAAAGGAAAGAAAGAATTGGTCCTGGCCACTTTGGCTCAGCAGTTAGAGCATCAGTCCGTAGACCAATAGGTGGCAAGTTTGAATCCCCGTCAAGGGCACTACCTCCGTTGCGGTTTGATCCTGGCCCTGATTGAGGTGGAGGTAGGGAGGCAACCCATCAATGAGTTTCTCTCTCTCCTTCCTCCCTTCCACTCTATCTAAAAATCAGTGGAAAAATATCCTCACCCAAGGATTAGGAAAAAAAACTTAAAAAAATAGAAAAATGAATCGTAAATCCAATTCAATCATAAATCCAAATCAAATTCCATTGTAAACCCAATAAATCTCAAGGCCAGAGAGCTCAGAAAGAGAAACAGGTAAGCACGCTTTCAAAGATGTAAAAAATATGACTTCCGGTCAAGGTGGCGGGTAGGTAAACATGGTATCACGTCCTCCTTCAACCACATCAAAATTACAACTAAACTACAGAACAACCATCATTCAAAACCGCCCGATATCGAGCTGAATGGAAGTCCTACAACTACGGAATTAAAGCAGCAGCCACATCCAGACTGGTAGGAGGGGCGGAGGTGGACAGGCTGGTCCCACACCCACGTGAGGCGGATAAAAATCAGGAGGACACCTCGGCTGGGAAGGTCCTCCCTGAGGATTGAGGGGTCCCCGTCCCACACCAGGTGCCCCACTCAGGGTCCCAGTGCCAGGAAGAGAATCCCCATAACTTCTGGCTGGAAAAACCAGCGGGAACTGAGGCTCAGGGAGGCTGAGGCGGCTGGAGCCCCAGGCAGCTCCTTAAAGGGCCCGCGCACGGACTTATCGGACTCTCTCCCTCTAAGCTTGGAGGGGAGGCAGCTCGAGGGGCGCCAGAGACACACAGGGAAGAACTGAGCTGTTTGGCACTGGAGCGAGGGCTGGAGAGGGGGCTTTCTCCGGGACAAACGTGCTGTCAGAGGCCTTTGTTCCTTTGGTGAGCCCTTCCCTGGGGCTGCAGACAGCCGCCATATCTGTGACTCCAGCAACCAGGCTCACACTGGTAGCCGCGCCCTGGTGATTCCCTGAAGTCCTGCCCCACCCAACTTTCAGGCCCACCCAAGCTGTTGCCAGTTGCTTTACCCTAGGATTGGCCTGTCTTGGATCCTGCTTCAGGTTTTCCTAAATTCTTTCAAACAAGCAGCATCTGGTCTCAGCGAGCCCCATAATTCTCATTAAGTAATACACTGAAACAAACACAGGCAGGCAGCCAAAATGAGGAGACAAAGAAACAGGTCCCAAATGAAAGAACAGAACAAAACCCCAGGAAAAAAACTAAGCGAAATGGAGATAAGCAAGCTAACAGATGCTGAGTTCAAAATACTGCTTATAAGGATGCTCAATGAACTTAGTGAGAACCTCAGTGAACTAAGTGAGGGCCTCAAGAGTATAAAAAAAGAACCAGTCAGAAATGAAAGATGCACAGTCAGAAATGAAGGAGGCAGTAACAGAAATAAAGAATAATTTACACAGATTCAATAGTAGAGTAGGTAAAGCCAAGAAGCAAACCATCGATTTGGAATATAAGGAAGCAAAAAATACCCAATCAGAACAGCAAAAACAGAAAAAAAGAATTAAAAAAAAAAAGAGGATAGTGTAAGGAGCCTCTGGGACAACTTCAAGCGTGCCAACATTCGCATCTTGGGGGTGCCAGAAGGAGAAGAGAGAGAACAAGAAATCGAAAACCTGTTTGAAACAATAATGGCAGAAAACTTGGTGAAGGAAACAGACATACAAATCCAGGAAGCACAGAGAGTCCCAAACAAGATGATCCCCAAGAGGCCCACACCAAGACACATCATCATCAAAATGGAAAAGGTTCAAGACAAAGAGAGAATCTTAAAAGCACAGAGAGTCCCAAACAAGATGATCCCCAAGAGGCCCACACCAAGACACATCATCATCAAAATGGAAAAGGTTCAAGACAAAGAGAGAATCTTAAAAGCAGCAAGAGAAAAGCAGTTAGTTACCTACAAGGAAGTTCCCATAAGGCTGTCAGCTGATTTCTCAAAAGAAACTTTGCAAGCCAGAAGGGAGAGCCAAGACATATTCAGAGTGATGAAAAGCAAGAACCTACAACCAAGATTACTCTATCCTGCAAAGGTGTCATTTAGAATCAATGACCATATAAAGAGATTCCCAGATAAGGAAAAGCTAAAGGAGTTCATCACCACCAACCATTATTATATGAAATGTTGAAGGATCTTCTTGAAGAAAAAGATAAAAAATATGAACAGCCCTGGCCAGTTTGGCTCAGCGGTTAGGGCGTCCGCCTGCTGACCGGAGAGTCCCGGGTTCGGTTTCCGCTAAGGGCATGTACCTTGGTGGCAGTTTGTCCCCGGCCCCGGTTGGGGTTGTGTGGCTAGCACCCACTCAATGTGTCTCTCTCACATTGATGTTTCTCTCTCTCTCTTCCTCCCTCTTTCCTTCCTGCTCTATCTGAAGATAAATGCAATAGTGTCCTCGGGTTAGGATTAAAAAAATATATATGAACAAGCAAAAGGCAATGAATACATAGCTAACAATTGAATCTACAAACAAAATCAACAAGCAGAACAGAAACATTCTCATAGATATAGAGAACATTTTGTTGGTTGCTAGATGGGAGGGGGGAGGAGGAATGGGTGAAAAAGGTGAAGGGATTAAGGAGTACAAATTGGATGCTAGACTGACAAATCTCAAAGGTAAGGGAAGTTGGGAGGTGGGAAGAAATAAACCAAAGAACTTATATGTATATACGCATAACCAATGGCACAGACAACAGCGTGGGGAAAGGCAGGAGGGGGGCGGGAGTGGAGAGGAGGAGGTCAATGGGGAAAAAATGAGGAACTTCTGTAATACATTCAACAATAAAGATATAATTTTAAAAAATAATATAAAAAATAGTAATAAATAAATAAAAGGATTGTGAAAAAAACAAAGATGTAAAAAATGTATAGCTGCCGCCGCCATTTTTTAAGAATTAAAAAACAAACAAATCCGTACCCTGCACCCCACGGCAGTGTTCCCGAACCAAGGCTTGGGAGGGAGAACTGCTGCAGTTCTAGAGCCCTCCCAGCCCAAGGCCAGGCCGCCCGGGTCTCCCACCACCGTCCTCAGCCCTACGGTCCTCGTGGACGCACCCACCCAGCCCCGCCTTCGCCTCCACCAATGGCGGCCCGGCGGCCCGACCGCGGCAGCCAACCCGGACGCCTGGGGGCGTGGCCTCGCGGCGCGGGCGGACCGCACCTATTCCGGGACAACTGCGCCTATTCCCAGCCGACTGGGGGCTGGAGACACAAAGGTGCCTCCTCTCCCTGCCCGCAGCGATCCCAGCGTCTCCGGCTTAGTGTCATTACTAGGCCTTGGAATGATCCAAACATTTGCCCGGGTGTCCTCCCACCTCCGTCACTCCAGGCATCCAACTCGAAGCAACGTCCCGTAGCGCTCGCACCTCGTTCGGGGCCTCACAGGACCATTTCCCCGATGCCTCGCAAGGCCCCGGCGATTCCGTCCATCTCTACCCAGATACTACGCAATGCAGCAGCGCGACCCTTGCTTGTCTGCCCCAAGCAATGGGTTGCAAACCTCTCCTCCCAACTCCTTCCCCGCCAGGTCCCAACTCTGCGCGCATCCGGGGCGCGGGAAAGGCTCCACGAGGGCCTCTAACCCTTGGCAACCTCCCCGAGACAGCAGTCCTGAACCCCCTTCCGTGCCTTCCCCGCAGTTTACCATAAGCGTTTCCATCCTGTCTCCGACATCCTGAGGTTGCAGCAGCGACGGGCGTGACTTCTGAATCATTGGAGGGGCCTGTGAGTGCACTGGGCTCAGGGGGCCGTCGGTGGGAGCTCAGGCCCGGCCCTGGCGACGGAGGAGAAGACGACGCGATGGCGGTGGCCAGGCGACGCGTTCCAAGGCAGGGGCTCTCTCCTGTCTGCACCCGTCGGCGTCGGGACCTGCGCGGCCCGGGACTGCGCGCGTGGCTCCGGGCTGCCGTACGAGCCTGCACCCGGGAACTACCTGCGGCTTTTCACGTGCTCGAAAGACACTGCGACTCTGCTCTGCACATTCTGCCCAGACTTCAGGACAGGAGACGGTTCGGCTAAACGTATCCGGCAGTGGAGAAGGCTGGGGAACTAGATGGAACAGTGGGATTGAACTTCCGGGGTCGGACGCGGGTCAGGAGCCGGTGAGGGTGTGTTCTTTACTGCCACCTAGTGAAGACGTTCGGAACTGCAGGACCCGCGGTTTCCCTGCCCCCCGAGCTTGGTTGGCATTTCTGCCAAGAATTTTGTTTGGGGGCTGTTCCAGGCTCCAAGGACACAACAGTGAATAAAACAGATGAAGTGGATGCCCTCCTGGGACTTACTTCCTAGTAGGGAATAACAGGCAACATTCACTGTTGTACTTCCCTATCCCAGGCACTGTTCTAAGTGTTTCTCTGTTTCCTCTCTTCTAACACTTACTTTGATACTTAGGTTATCTCATATAGTTCAAATTCAAATTTTACCAACTGTATCCAAGCTGTCCTTCATAGCATTTCTTTTGGATCCAGAATCCAATTTATGTTCATATACTTCACGTCTCTCTAGTCTCCTTCAGTCTGGAATAATTCTCCAGCCTTCAGCTTTCCCTTGACGAATATACTCTCAACATGTGACACGGACGCCCAGACACATACAGAACTAAGCTCCAGTTCTTTCTGTCCTACTGTAGGTGGCTCTTGTTGCTGTCAGCTACTGAATGGTAGGTAGGTGGCATCAGAACACAGCTTCAAACCCCTGCACCATAAATCAGAGCTATCCATTTTACATATAAGGAAACCGGAGCGCTGAACATTTAAAGTAAGTTGCCCAAAATGACACGGCTAAAATAAATGACAAAATGAAATCTGCCCTCGCTACTTTTACCCTCCATTGGATCCCTGCTATCCTAACCCAGTCATTTTCTCTCAGAAACTTCACTCAAAACAAAAGACTTTTATTCTGTATGCAAAAACACTGAAATCAGAAATATAACAGCATTTGAAAGTGTTTGTGAGAAAGCATTTTCCATATAAAACTTCAATAAGATATTTTACTTCCTTCATCCTGCTGTGAAAATATAGCACAATAAACTAATTTGTAGGAAAAAAACAACAAAGTTGCCCCAGATGACACAGCTGGCATGAGGCTGTATGCTGTACATTTTTCATTATAGTCATAATAAACTATTTTTCTTAATCCTCACCCGAGGACATTTTTGCATTTTATCTTCAGATAGAGAAGGAGGGAGAAGGGGGAAGAGAGAGAAACTTGCCACCCACACAACCCCAACCGGGGACAAACCACATGCAAACCACAACCGACGTATGTGCCCTTAGCGGGAACCGAACCAGGGGCTCTCTGATCCACAGGCCGACTCTAACCGTTGAGCCAAACCAGCCAGGGACAGAGGGCAGCTTTAAAATGACAATTCCATCCTGCCCGTGAAAAGCAAACCTACTCACAGGATTGCAATATTTAGTTACAGCTCTTTTTTTTTTAAGGCAAAATTTACATATATTCAAATTCTTAAACCTTAAGTATTCAATTTAATTAGTCTTGACAAATGAGATATTCATGTAACTCACCACCTATGAAGATACAGAATATTTCCATCCCCCCCGGAAAATTCTCCCCTGTCTTTTTCCACTGTGTCCTCACAGAGGCCGCCGCAGGCCAGTTCTTGAACTGCAGAGACTTGAAGCATAATGTTTTTGTGATTCATGCAGGTCGTTGGATGGATCAGGAGCTCACAAGGTTTTCTTACTGAGAAGAATTCCATTATATGCATACAGTGGATAAATACCATGACTTGTTTATCTGTTCTCTTATGACGGACTTTTGGACTATTTTCAGTTTGGGGCTCTTGTGACTAAAGCTACAATGAACATTTGTATGTATGCAAGTCCTTTTGTGGGCAAATATTTCCAGTGCCCTTGGGTAACTCTCTAGGGGCAGAACGGCTGGGTTAGAGGGGGGCTGTGTGGAACAACAAATCTTTCATGCAAACTCTTTCAGAGAGTTGTAGAAAAGGGAATACTTCCTGACACATTTTCGGAGGCCAAACTTAACCAGGACCTCATAAGAAAGGGAAAGTTCAGGACAATATCTCTCGTGAACACAGATACAAAAATCCTAAGGGAGCCCTGGCCGGTTTGGCTCAGCAGTTGGAGCGTCGGCCTGCAGACCAGAGAGACCCGCATTCAATTCCAGCCAAGGGAACGCACCTCAGTTGCGGTTAGGCCCCGACCCCAAGTGCAGGGGTGGCAACCAGTTGATATGTGTGTCTTTCTCTCCCCCTCCCACTCTGTCTGAAGATAAATGTAAAAATATCCTTGGGTGAGGATTAAAAAAAAAAAAAAATCCAAAGAGAATCCAATTATTTATTTAAATGATCACCAGCAAGAAGTCATTCCCCCCGCTGCCCCCCTACCCCCCACCCCCGCCAGGGAAAATACAGTTTGATTTAAGATAAGAATCAATCGCCCTGGCCGGTTTGGCTCAGGGGTTAGAGCATCGGCCTGCGGTCCGGAGAGACCCGGGTTCGGTTCCCGCTAAGGGCATGTGCCTCGGTTGCGGTTTGTCCCCGGCCCTGGTTGGGTTTTGCAAGTGGCAACCACTCTATGTGTCCCTTCTACATCGGTGTTTTTCTCTCTCTCTTCATCTCTCTCCCTCCCACTCTATCTGAAAAAAAAAGAAAAAATGTCCTCGGGTGAGGATAAAAAAAAAAGATAAGAATCAATCAATCTAGTTCATTAACAGAATGGAGGAAAGCTCAAGAGATATGGAAAGCATTCAATAAAATTTAAATTCATAGATGATAAAGACACTCAGAAAACTAGAAAAATGAACCCCAAACATTCTACTTAGTGTAGCGTACATACTCTTTCCACAAAGTCTTTGAAAGTTGAGATGATTAACTTGCAATAGTAGGAATTTATTTAATGTGAAATGTATCTTGTGTCTGTAACCCAATTTCTAAGAGTAAAGGGATACTCAGACTCCAACATAAGCCACGTTTGTCTTTCGGAAGAGGAGTGGCCACGAAAGCAGAGGTCCACTTTGAAGCACCGTCCTCACAAAATGTGGTCCGTGGTGGAGGAGCGGAAGGAGTGTTGACAGGAGAAGGATGACCTCTCCCTGCCTTCCTTGGGGGGCGACCTCCCCGAGAAGAGGGAGATGTGTTTGCAACATTTCTGAAATACTTCTGAAAGGTTTTTCTTGAACTTCTCACCCATGAAAGCATAGATAATAGGGTTCACACAGCAGTGAGTGAAGGAAATAATTTCTGTGACGTGGGTGGCATAAATTAGCTGCTGGCTCATGACACATCCATCCAAGATGTGCAGGTCGTGTAGGGAAGTGAGGAAGAGGACCACATTGAATGGGACCCAGAAGAGTAAAGACGCAATGACCACAATGAGCACCAACTTGATGGCCTTGGTCTTGTTCTGGTTTTGGCAAGTCTTTAGCTGGTGCAGGATGCTCGTGTAGCAGAACATAAGGATGGTGAATGGGATCAACAGGCCTAAGATATTCATTTCAAAGTGGGTGAAGAGCTTCCACTTTAACGTCTGGTGGTTGTAAGACGAAAAACACTGGAGGATGCCTTCTTCCGAGGACACTTGGTAAAACACGAGCAGTGGGCTAGAGGCCGTGACAGCGGTCAGCCATACTGTCAGGCTCAGGGCTGTGCCTATTCTGGCTGTCCTGATGTTCATGGCATACACAGCATGGACAATTGCCAGGTACCTGTCCACACTCATGAGGGTGATAAAGAACATGCTGCTGAAGAAGCCAATGTAATAAAAACCAGAGACCACCTTGCACATGACAGTCCCAAACACCCACTGGTGGAGCTGATAGTGAGTCTGAAAGGGGACGGAGAAGACAAAAAGCAGGTCAGACAAGGCCAGGTTCAAGAGGTATATGTCTGTGATGCTCTTCAGTTTCTTAAAGATGACGAGGACCAAGATGACCAGGCTGTTTCCCAGAAGACCGAATACAAACAGGAGGCAGTAAAAGATGGCAAGAAGCAACTTGCTATCCCTCTGGAAAATTTCCCCATCACAAGGGCTTGAGAAGCTATCAGGATAGTAGTAGTCAGTTATTGTCACGTTGGGCTCATGTGTATAATCCATCAAGGCAGGAGGACCTGGTCACAGAGGCACCTAAGAGACAGTCATGCTTTTATTAAAAGTTTAAATCAAAAGTATAGATTGAATGTGCCCCACAACCCCCAATTTATACGTTGAAGTTCTAAAGCCTTGTTACAGACTAAATGTTCTCGCCCCCCTCCCAAGAATTCAAAATGAATCATAGCTCCAGTTTTCACCCATACCTGATTCAGATGAGATCTAGATGAGACTTTTGACTCACGCTGGAATGGGTTAAGACTGTGGAGAATGTTGAAACAAAGTGAATGTATTTTGCATGTGAGAAGGACATGAGTTTTGGGAGGCCAGAGGGCAGAATGGTATGCACTAAAGTGTGTCCAACCCCTCTCCCATTTCAGATATTGAAGCCCCAATTCTCAATGTGATTCTATTTGAAGATAAGGCTTTAGAGAGGTAATTAAGGTTAAATGGGGTAGTAAGGGTAGGGTTCTGATCTGATTGGGTCAGTGCCTTATAAGGATGAGATACCAAAAAGCACCCCCCATCTCTGCACATGCAATAGAGATGAAACTAAAGTTCTCTTTAACTATAAAACTTACCCCCACACCCCAGAAGCAACTACTAAAACCAGTTTTATATGTGTCACTTTAAACAATTTGCCCCTGTACTTTTATATACTTATATGTATTCATAAACAACATACAATATAGTTTTGTGTTCACTTTTAACTTACATAAGTAGTATAAGATCACATCTCTTATTTCCCTCCACATCTGTTATTTTCTATGTTGCTTTATGTCTACCAGCATGTTGTTTTAGAAATATAGTCATAGAATACTAAAATGTTTAGCTCCTTCTTTAAGCTGCTTTCTAAAGCACCATATATAACTAATTTAAAAATGCAACAAAAGATTATTTCAATCATGCTAGCAACAAATATTACTAGACTTATTAGAAACAAACTCGATCAAAACTGCAATTCAGTTATATAAGGTATTATAAAACAGTGTTGAAAGACATAAAAGAAAACATGATTAAAAGAAAACAAATACTATATTTGTGGAAAGAAAAACTCATGTTTAAAACATGAAAATTCTAGACTCCATTAAAAATCTATTAGAACTGGTAAATGAACTCAGTAAAGTAGCAGGATACAAAATTAATATTCAGAAATTGAAGATAATTTTGTACACCAATAATGAACTAACAGAAAGAGACACTACAATCCCATTTACAATTGCACAGAATAATAATAATATTAAGGTATCTTGGTATACATTTAATCAAGGAGGTAAAAGGCCTGTACTAAAAAAATTGAAAGATACTGAAGAAAGAAATTGAGAAAGATACAAACAAGTGGGAGCATATACCATGTACATGGATAGGAAGAACTAACATCATTAAAATATTCACAATACCCAGAGCAATCTACAGAATCAATAAAGTACTTATTTCACGGAACTAGAACAAAGATTCTAAAAATGTACATGGAACCATATAAAGAACAACTGAACACCAAAAATACAAGCAAGCCAGTTAAAAAATAGGCAAAGGACCTGAATAAACACTTCTCCAAAGAAGACATACAGATTGCCAATAGACATATGCAAAGATGGGCAATGTCACTAATCATCAGAGAAATGCAGATTAAAACAATGAGACATCACCTCACACCAGTCAGAAGAGCTATGATTAAAAATCCACAAATGACAAGTGCTGGCCAGGCTGTGGGGAAAAGGGACCCTAGTGCACTGCTGGTGGGAATGAGACTGGTGCAGCCACTGTGGGAAACAGGGTGCGAGCTGTGGTACATTTACACAGTGGAATGCTACTCAGTTGTAAAAAGAAGTGAACCTGCCCTGGCCGGTCTGGCTCAGCGGTTAGAGCGTCGGCCTGCGGTCCAGAGAGACCTGGGTTTGGTTCCTGCTAAGGGCACGTATCTTGGTTGCAATTTGTCCCCAGCCCTGGTTGGGTCATGCGGGTGGCAGCCACTTGATGTGTACCTTTCACGTTGATGTTTCTCTCTCTCTCTCTCTTCCTCTCTCTCCCTCCCACTCTGTCTGAACAGAAAATGGAAAAAATGTCCTCGGGCCTCGGGTGAGGATTAAAAACAAAAAAGAAGTAAACCTTACCTTTAGCATCTGCATTGATGAACCTAGAGGGTATTATGCTACATGAAATAAGCCAGTCAGAGAAAGACAAATACCATAGGATTTCGCTTATATGTGTAATCTAATAAACAAAATAAAGACACAAAATATAAACAGACTCATAGATACAGAGAACAGAGTGACCAGAGGGGTTGCTGGGGGGCTGGGTGAAATAGGTGAAGGTTAATTTTTTTTTTTTTACCCCAAATATATTTTAAAAACACAGTTCCCACCCTGGCCAGTTTTTCTCAGTGGTTAGAATGTCAGCCTGTGGACCAAAGAGTCTCAGGTTCAATTCCCAATCAAGGACGTGTACCTGGGTTGCAGGTTCTATCCCTGGCCCTGGTTGGGGTTGTGCAGGAGGTAAACAATTGATATGTTTCTAACATCAATGTCTCTCTCTCTCTCTTTCTCTCTCTCTCTCCCTCCCTCCCTTCCACTCTATCTTAAAAAAAAAAATCAATGGAAAAATATCCTCTGGTAAAGATTAATAACAACAACAAACATACACACACACACACACACACACACACACACAATTCCCTCAGCTAGAGCCACGGGAAGCCACTAAGACATGCAGGGTTTGAGTAATCTGAAACATACAAAGAAAAAGAAAATTTACCTTTTATGCCAGACCTTTGAAATATTAGCCTTCCCTTTGCCTCTTTCCCAAGGACATAAAAATGTCCTTGCCTGCTTATGTCCTTCTTCCCCAAGGATGATTATTAATACATACCTTAATTCGAGCCTTTGTTTCAGTTGCTAATTTCTTCTCAGAGTCTGCACTCAGGTGCATGTGTAGTAATACCTCTGTGGTAAGAGGCTTAATAGGGTTGTGCCTGCTACAGCATCCTGTATTTTAAAAGTTAAAAAAAAAAATCTCCCCTGCTCCCTCCCCACAAACCTACTGAAGGCTAATTAGCATATAAAATATGCTTAACACATTGAGTCAATTAATTGTAAATGAAATTAAATTGTAGTTAAAATTGTAAATTAAAATGAAAGTAACATAAAACTCCTAGAAGAAAACAGGTGTTTTAGTAACACTTTCTTAGTAACATCAGTCTTAGTAACACTTTCTTATACCAGTTTCTTCAGGCAAAGGCAACAAAAGCAAAAACAAACAAATGGATTACATCAAACCAAAAAGGTTTTGCACAATGAAGGAAACCATCAACAAAATGAAAAGGCACCCTACTGAATGGGAGAAGATATTTGACAATCATACATCTGATAAAGGGTTAATATAAAAAGTTATAGCCCTGGCCGGTTTGGCTCAGTGGTTAGAGCGTTGGCCTGCGGTCCAGAGAGACCCGGGTTCAGTTCCCGCTAAGGGCACGTACTTCGGTTGCAGTTTGTCCCCGGCCCTGGTTGGTCGTGCGGTGGCAGCCACTCGATGTGTCCCTTTCACGTCGATGTTTCTCTCTCTCTATCTCTTCCTCTCTCTCCCTCCCACTGTATCTGTACAAAAAATGGAAAAAAAATGTCCTCGGGTGAGGATAAAAAAAAAAAAAAGTTATAAATAACTTACACAACTTAATATATATATTTTAAAACCTGATTAAAAAGTGGACAGTGATCAATGTATCTCTCCTCTCACACCGATGTTTCTTTCTCTCTCTCCCTTTCCCGCTCTGTCTGAAGATAAGTAGAAAAATTATGTCTTCAGGTGAAGATTAAAAAATAAAAAGGCAGTGAGTGACCTGGCTGGTGTGGCTCAGTTGGTTGGGCGTCATCTCGTGCACTGGAAGTTTGCCAGTTCGATTCCTTGTCAGGGCACATGACCAGGTTGCTGGCTCAATCCCTGATAGGGGGTGTGCAGGAAGCAGCCAATCAATGTTCACTCTCATATCGATGTTTCTCTCTCTCTCTTTCCCTTTCCCTTTCTCCCTCTCTAAAAAAGGGGGGAGCAGTGGACTCGAATATACATTTTCTCAAAGAAGACATACAGATGGCCAACAGGCACATGAAAAACTGCTCAACATCACGAATCATTAGGGAAATGCACATCAAACCCACAAGGAGATGTCACCTCACACCTGTCAAAATGGCTATTCCCAAAAAGACAAAAAAAGCAAGTGCTGGTGCAGCCACTATGAGAAACAGTAAGGAGGTTCTTCAGAAAATTAAAAACAGAGCTATCATACAATCCAGCAATTCCACTTATAGGTATTTATCAAAGAAAACAAACACCAGTTCAAAGAGATATATGCACCCCAATGTTCATTACAGCACTATTTACAATAGCCAAGATATGGAAGCAACCTAAGTATCCATCAGTAGATAAATGGATAAAGAAGATGTGCTGTATATGTACAGTGGAATGTTACTCAGCCACAAAAAGGGAAAGCTGCCCATTTGTGCAGACATGGATAGACCTAGAGAGTGTTATGCTGAGTGAAGTAAATCAGACGGAATGAAGACAAATATTGAGTGATTCCACTTATATGTGGAATCTAAAAACAAAACAAATAAACAAGCAAAGCAGAACAGAAACAGACTCATAGATACAGAAAACAAACGGGTTTACCAGGGGGTGTGATGCAGGCATTCCGGGCCAGGGTCCACACCCGCTGTGGGTTCTTGGCTCCTCACGGGAAAGAATTCAAACGTGAGCAGCACAGAGTTAGAAGTGAAAGTCCGTTTATTAATGAAGCAGTGAGTGGGCTACTCCACAGACAGGGCAATCCCCCGTCAGCAGAATTTGCTTCTTTGTTGAGGTTTATTTAATGTGGGCATAGGGTATTCAAAAAGGGGTGGAATATTCAGGGTTCTCCCAGGAAGGGATGGAAATTTGTCAGAGGAGTTCCACCAGGCATTTTATGTCTTTATATGGGCTTTTTGTTTCCAATCATGGGCAGTGTGAGTCTTGTCAGCATGAGAATGTATTACAAGGAGCATATAATAAAGCTAGGGGTTACCATTACGTGAAATTAGTTGCCATGTTGGTTCAAGCTAGTCCGCCGGTTTTAAGCCACAAATTTAGTGAAGGGTGGTCTTACTTCCTTCTTGACAGTTCCTGTAGCTTTTGTTTTTATTTTTAGTTTACTTTTTATCAATTTATCTTTAAATTATCGCCCGAGGATATATGCTCATTGGGTTTTTTTTGTTTGTTTTTTTTTGGAGAGAGGGGAAGAGAGAAAGAAACATTGATGCGAGAGAGAAACATTGATTGGCTGCCTCCCATATTTGTCCCAACTGGGGATTGAACCTGAAACCTAGGTATGTGTCAGGGATCAAACTTGTAATCTTTTTTGGTGCACTGGACAAGGCTCCACCCAACTGAGCCACACCAGCCAGGGCTGTAGCTTTTATTGATTACTGTTGTTTTGACACATACTCTATTTTAGGAGGAGGGGTTAGGGGCTGGCAAAATAGGTCAAGGGGATTAAAAAGTAAAAACTTCTAGTTATAAAATAAATAAGTCATGGGGATGGAATGCACAGCATAGGAAATATAGTCAATTACATTGTAGTAACTTTGTATGGCGAAAGAGTTAATCTGTGATAATTTTATAATGTATGTAAGTATCAAATCACTATGATGTACATCAGAAATGAATAGGATATTGTGTGCCAATTATACTTTAATGAAAAAAATGTGATACCACTGCACACTGAGGAGAATAGCGACAATCCAAAACATTGACAACACCAGATGTTGGAGAGAATGTAGAACAAGAGGAACTCTCATTTATTGCTGCTGGGAATGCAAAATGGTACAGCCACTTTGAAGACAGTCTGGCAATTTCTTTTTTTTTAAAACTTATCTTTATTGTTGAATGTATTACAGATGTCCCCCCTTTCTCCCCCCATTGACCCTCTCTATCCTAATCCCACACCCCTCCTGCCTTCCCCACACTATTGTCTGGTTATGCATATATGCATAGAAGTTCTTTGGTTTATCTCTGCCCGCCCCCCCCTTCCCTTTAAGGTTAATCAGTCTAACAACCAATTTGTACTTCTTAATTCCTTTTTTCACCCATCCCCCCAGCCCCCTCTCATTTGGCAAGCAACAAAAAGTTCTCTGTATCTATGAGTCTGTTTCATTTTGTCTGTGGATTCAATTGTTGATAGATATGTATTTATTGCCATTTTAGTATTCACATTTTTGTTATTCTCCTTCAAGAAGACCCTTCAACATTTCATATAATACTGGTTTGGTGGTGATGAATCCCTTTAGCTTTTTCTGGTCTGGGAAACTCTTTACATGGCCATTGATTCTAAATGATAACTTTGCAGGATAGAGTAATCTTGGTTGTAGGTCGTTGCTTTTCATCACCTTGAATATCTCTTGCCACTCCTTTCTGGCCTGCAAAGTTTCTTTTGAGAAATCAGCTGACAGTCTTATGGGAGTTCCTTTGTAGGTAATGAACTGCTTTTCTCTTACTGCTTTTAAGATTCTCTTTTTGTCTTTAAATTTTGGCATTTTGATGATGATGTGTCTTGGTGTAGACCTCTTTGGGTTCATTTTGTTTGGAACTCTCTATTCTTCCTGGACTTGTATGTATGTTTCCTTCACCATGTTAGGGAAGTTTTCTGACATTTTTTCAAATAAGTTTTAAATTTCTTTCTCTCTCTCTTCTTCTGGCACCCCCATGATGCATATGTTGGCAAGCTTGAAGTTGTCCCAGGGCTTCTTAAAATAAGGTTATTTATTTATTTATTTATTTATTTATTTATTTATTTATATATTTTTTGCTGTCCTGATTGGGTGTTTTTTGCTTCCCAATATTCCAATTCAATGCTTTGCTTCTTGGCTTCACCTACTCTACTATTGATTCCTTGTAAATTATTATTTATTTTCATTAGTGCATCCTTAATTTCTGACTGGTCTTTTTCCATGTTGATGTTCTCACTAAGTTCCTGGAGTTCTCCTTAAGTTCCTCGAAGGTCTTACTAAGTTCCTTGAGCATCCTTATAACTGGTGTTTTGAACTCTGCATCTGATTGATTGCTTATCTCCATTTAATTTAGTTCTTGTCCTGGAATTTTGTTCTGTTCTTTCACTTGGGACATGTTTCTTTGTCTCCTCATTCTGGCTGCTTCCTTGTGGATGTTTCTATGTATTAGGTAGAGATGTTATGTCTCCTAGGCTTCGTAGGGTGGCCTATTGTTGGAGGTGGCCTATTGTTGGAGGTGGCCTATTGTTGGAGATGTCCTGTATGGTCCAGTGGCACAGCCTCCTTAATCACCCCAGCTGGGCCCTCAAGGTGCACCCCTGGTGTGGACTGTCCACCCTTCTGCTGTAATTGAGTCTTGATGTGCTGTTGGCACATCAGTGTGAGAGTTTTACTTAGGCTGATTAGCTGCAAGGACTGGCTGTGCCCACTGACCGCTGGCCTCTGACTCCCTTGGAGGATCAGTCGTGTAGGGGCCACCACACAGAGCAAGATTTACTTCAGCAGGGCTCTGATAGCCACTGAGTCCACTCATTGAGTGTGTCACTTGTGGAGGTAGTTGGGTGGTGGTGCTTTGATGTGATCTGAAGCTGTCCATTGTGTGTGCTGGCTCTGGGGCCAGGTCAGCCACTACCTGTGTTCTACCAGGGCCACCAGGCATAAGCTGCAGCGTGATCTGCCAATGGCTGCTTCTTGAGCTGGACTTGGAGGTGTCCAGAAAAATCCAAGCTGTGAACCAAGGCTGGCTGCTTCTAGTACCAGGCCTGGGGCCACTTAATGAGAGGTATGGGGTTTGCTGAGACCTAATGCTGCTTGTTTGAAAGATTTTAGGAAAATCTGAAGCAGGATCCAAGACAGGCCAATCCTATGGTAAAGCCACTGGAAAC